CTTAAAATTTGAATAAAATAAATAAACAAGAAAAAAATTATTAAAAAATAAATATCATTCAACGGATAGTATAATTTAGCATATTAAAATAAAAAAATAATTTTTTTATTTTTTTGGAAGGAAATATAACTGAAAATTCAGGGAACATGGGGGGGGGGGGGGCTAAAAGCGAAAATTTTGGCAAGTTTAGAAAGCTAGGAAGCCAGGTTTATTCAATTTCTTACAAAAAAAGACATTTTTAGGGATGTATCTTTAGCGAAGACCAAGCCTAGGTTTCGGGAACCGAAGTCATCAAAATCGAGTCGAGAAGTGAAAAATCGGCGAGGACCTCGGCATCGGCAAGGCCTCGACTTAGTGCTACCCTATTTTAAACTTAAATTTATGTTCAAGTATCATGGATACCTTGAAAATTTATTTTCCCAGTTTGGTACATTAAAAAATTTTTTACTTAAGAAAATGAATTTTTACAAGTTTTTTAAATTCTATTTATTCACCTAAAGCCTTAGTTGTTTCTTATTTTCATTATAAAAATTATAATTTAGCTCAGCAAGTTTGCTCGACGGAGGCGGTCTTTATCCGTCTCGTTTTATAGATTCGCAAGCAGTGTGGAAAAGTTCCAAAATTCTTTGAACCAACTCCAGACCTTTACCGTTTCCACTGTTCCGAAACGCACCGATTCCGGAACTGAAACCCTTCGATCACTGGTTGTAAATCTGAATCCCGACCAATCCCTGCGTTTTACTCAATTGCTAGTTCATTTTTAACGGTTTTATAATTTTTTAAAAATTTAATTGACGTTTCAAGTATTAAATTTCAATTTTTAATTTTATGTTGCAAATAGATTAGTTTTATAGTTTTATTAAACTTTTTGCTAAAATTAAGATACTACTTAATAGCAAAATTAAAATAAAATTCTACACTTAAATTTAAATAAAAATTTATGGATTAATTAATGCTGAAACTTATTAAAGCAAATTTGAGAAATAGAAAATGAGTGATATGAAATAGAAAAAAATTTTTGAATAATATTTATTAGTGACCTGGACAAGATTCTGGATCTGGATCCAGTAAAAATCCAGATCCAGAAAAAATCCAGGACAATCAAAAAATGCCTGGATCTGGACTCTGGATCCAGGAAAAATCCAGACTGGATCCACATCCAGACCGATCTCTACAGTGTTGAATACCAGAGGTCGATCGAACTTCCGATCTCCGACTTCCGGTAGCTTCGTTATTTCCGATCGACCTCTGAAAATTATAAACTTAAGTAAGGACATCAGATGCTTAGTTGACGCACAAACTTTTTTTAGTTCACACAAATAAAATACCAGATATCTTAATTTAATGGCTTAATTTCACATTTTTATTAAAAAAATTAAAAAAAATTTTTCTAGAATTCTTAAGAAAATGGAGAAATTGAGCCTTATGTCAAGCAAGCAATGTAAGAAAAAGAAATATCTGTACTCGATGCTTCTAACGAGTTCCAGGAAGCGTTTCATTAGACAGCAGTTACGCAACGATTTCAGATACTGTCAAAACTTAGAATTTTTGAACCCTGGAAGGGTTTACCGTCTTAGCTGGGTCCTTTATAGCCTTCCACTATAAATCCTCATTATTTACAATTTACCGTATTCTCTCTAATAAAATGCCACTCTCTATTAGAATGCCACCTTGGAAGGTAATTGAAAAATAGAATGCCATGGCATTCTAATGGAGGAAATACGGTGCTTAGCTCTTAGCTCTAACTCCACGCCGAAAAACCCTTTCTCGCCAAATTACTATAATAAATTTTCTCGTTTATATTTATTTTTAAATATCCGTTTTTGACATAATTTTAATTATAAACAAACACATTTTCGAAAGAAAATTTGTACTTGACTACTGTATTGTTTTTTTGCACTTTACATATTTTTAAAGAAAAATACCCTATAAAGTACTTGTGGTAGTGATGTAAAAAATTTTTAAAAAGTGCTTATGCGAAAAAATAAAATGTGTAAAAATATGCTTTTAAGATGCTAATTATTTATATTTTAAAAATAATTATATTTTATAATTATGCTATTTTTTAATAAAAAATTTTTTCGTAATCAGTGGAAAAAGATTTTTCATAGAAAAAAATATTAAACTTATATGGTAGTAGCGAGCAGTGCTTCGAAATTTCGATTTTGCTCGTACTCGTACCTTGTACTTTTCACTTTTTGGCCTCGTACTCATACTCGTACTTCGTACCCGCCTCATTTTTTGCTCGTAGTCGTACTTCGTACCAGGTACGAGTACGAGTAAGAGGTACGAGTACGAATTTTGGTACGAGCTTCGAAGCACTGGTGGCTGGGACTGATTTATGAGGAAATAAACAGCCTATAGAAATAATACACATATGACATGTGTTGATTAAATATTTACGATATTTTGTGAACCGGCACAGATCAGCCAAAATTTTATTTTAAAACTAGTGCTGTTAAGACTAAGGTAGCACACTCGCCCGAAACCCCGACTATTTTTTGGCAAAAAACTCGACCCGAACTCCGAAGGCTCTTCCACGACAAACCCCGATCACGACGATCCCGCTCCCGAAGGCTCGGGTGCTGCCCTAGTTAAAACCTATGAACTCTACTTATAGAACAAGCCTACGAACTGTGCTCTTTAAAGATTAAATTTTAAAAATTCAGAGCGAGACGTTCAGCAGCACTAACAACTGCAACCCTTAGTCAGGCCCAGTCATATTCTAGTTTTATTAAATTAGGCTTTCTAAATATTAGGTCCAACTTTTTATATATTTTGATAAGGATCAAGCCCTTCAGTAATTTATAAGATTTTTTTACAACTAAATTTAATAAAAATAATTAAAATTTCCTATTTTACATTTAAAAATTTCAAGATTAGAACATTTAAATTTAGAATAATTCTTGGAAATAATTATTTTAAAATAGAAAGTACCTTTTTACTAATTTTAAGCTTAATTTATATTTTAGTTTAATTTATATTTTCTATGAAAGTACAATAAAGTATGAAACTGAAGTTTGAAAGATTTTTTAAAAAATTGGTAGCTCAACTTTGGATAAGTTATAAAAGCATAAGTTATATTACTCACAAGCTAGGTATATTTGTTAGTGTGCTATGTGTTAAAATTTGTGTTTTATTGTGTTTTTATTGTGTTTTACTAAACTTTCCGGAAACTATAATTAATTATTTCCGGAAAGAATAATTTTCATAGAGGTATAAATTTTCATAGAGATATCCGGAAATTGTATTTATTTTCCGGAAATTTTTATATTTGTTTTTGTTGCACGTATTTTGTGTTATGAAATTTTCCGGAAATTCTTTTAATTAATTAAATTTTCCGGAAAATACAAATAAAATTAAATTATTATTGCTAAAATAGCATTGTTCACTACCGGCTAATAACCGGTACCCCCGGCTTTCTATTTCAGTTAATTTCCAAAACACCGTGTTTGCTCTTAGTTTCGATTAACCGAGCGTGAACAACCTTAGTTTAAAAAATAAAATTTTTGCGGATCTCTGTTGATACACAAAATACAGTAAATATTAATCTAGGTATGTGTTTTAGTCGTCTACTTATTTCATGTTTTTTAATATTTTTATTTTTTAATATATTTATTTTTATTTATTTTGCATATTTTTCCTTCTTAAATTAATCCTAAAAAGCTTTTAGATGTATTGCATAAATAAATAAATTTATTAAAAAATTACAGTAATAAATAAAAGTTATAGCCAAAACAATAAAATTATTAATTAAATATTTAAATTAATCCAGAAAAAAATAAATAAAGATTATAGCTGGGGATTCCCTTATTTTCATTAAAATATGTTTATCACGTGAATAATAATTAATTAAAATTCCTGAAGAAAATAATAATTGAAGAAATAAATTTGTGTAAAAATACAAAAATAAAATACAAAACGTATTTACTGATTAATTTCCCTGGGTATATTCAAGGGAGGGGAATTATTCGAGTTTTAAAATTTGAACGTGTTTCAGGGTATTTGGAGGAGGGGGATTATTGCTTCAACTCATCGTAGCAGGGGGAATTATTTTAGGGAGGGGAAATTAATAGAGGGAGGGGAATTAATCGAGTAAATACAGTATAGGTATTTATGATGTAAATGTTGTTCCTAAACAAAAAAGAAAACACAAAGAGAGTAGTGGAAACACAAGTTTATACAAACATCTTTGTAATTTATTAACTAAAACAATTTTATAAACAGAAAAACATGTTTATTAGGAACATTATTTGTGTTTTTCAAGCTTTCCGGAAAGAAATACATTGTTCCTGAAACACGTTTAGAAAATAATGATGTGTTTCATAAAACATTCCGGAAAGTTTTATAACTGTATTTTCCGGAAACATATTAATTTTCATAGTTATATAATTTCCGGAAATTTAAATTATTTTTCGGAAGGTAGCGCATTTTGTATTTTAGCATATTTCCGGAAACTTTTGTATTTAAAATAATTTTTGTATTTCCGGAAAATACATTTACTTTCATAGTTATAAAACTTCCGTAAAATTTAAATTATTTTCCGGAAATTAGTTAATATTTGTGTTTTATGATATTTTCCGGAAACTTCTCTATTTAAACAAAATTTTATATTTTCCGGAAACTTTTGTAAAATAAATTTTATATTTTCCGGAAACTTTTCTATTTAAAATAAATTTTAAATTTTCCGAAAAATACATCATTAAGTAAAATTGTAAAGAAAACGTTTTTCCAGAAGTTTTTGCATCGTGTTTCAAAGGATTAGAAATTTTTCTTTAAATAGAAAAATTTAAGTTTGTATTCTTAAAAGCATGTCTATTAAAAAATTTATTTTTAAATCTATTTTTGTAATATTTTGGAATTATTTCTATATAAGGATTTTAATAAAAAAATTTTTTGAATTAAAATACTTTGAAAAATTAAAAAAAATTTTTTTTAAATTAAAAAAAAATTTTTCAGAAATTAAAAAAAATTTGTTGATAAAAATTATAAAAAATTAATTAAATATTTTGCTCATTCCCCCTATTTTCCCTCTTATCTCCTTTGAACAAGTAGCCTAATTGTTGGTGGAAATTAGCCAGAATTGCTGATGTTATCAACGAGATGGCTCCAATTATAAAAGTTAAGGTTAAATGTCTACCTCGTAAAATCACGTCAATAACTAAATTTATTTTATTATAAAAATTAAATTTTAAATTTAATTATCCAAACATATGCTTATCGGAATGCCGCAGAGAACGCCAATTACGATTGATAATGGGCCGAGAGCTGCCACGCCAAAAATTGTTGCAATGTTGAAAACTTTGAAAAACACAAAGAAATTTTTTTAAAAATTATAGAAAATTTTTTAAAAATTTCAGAAAAAATTTCAAAAAAATTTGAAAAATATTTTCAAAAATTTACCAAAAGTCAGAAACACAAAATTCAAAAAATTTCCCCATGGAACACTGTCCCATTGCCAAATATCATAACCAAAATACACCAAAATTGAAGTTGGTATAAAATTTAGAGGTAGGTTGACTAGAGCCATGCCTGATAGGAAGAGCATACCCTCACCTAAAGAAGCTTGTTCTCCCGAAATTAATTTGAAGGTGACCTGAAAAATTTTTTTGAATTTTTTTTTGAATATTTTATTGCCTTGTAAGTCGAATCAGAAAGACATGACATCAAAACTAACAAAAATCCGATGATATTAGCTGCAAATTCCTTATCTAGAGCAATTGATATAACTCCTATCATTGCCAAGAATACAGCTATTGTCTAAAAAATAATTGTTTATATTGGAATAGACATTTAATTCTTTTAAGAGTATGTTAGATAACCGTTTTTGGTTCTAGCTTTTGATTCCAGTTTCACTATTATCCTCAAAATGTTTAAAATTTTTGGGGCTGGGTGATTTTGCGTAAGAAATTGATTCACTGCAATACATACTAGTGTTAGTCATTTGCGATTTTTCGAGATCGAGATCGAGATTATCGAAAAAATCTCGATTTTTCTAAAAATTGATCGAGACGAGATCGAGATCGATAATCTCGAAAAAAAATCTCGCGATATCTCGAAAAATATCGTCGATATATCATCTCGTGACTAACACTAATACATACATAATTAAGAACTTATGATAATCGAACCTACAAGGAGGTGGCAGATTTATCTAGTGTTGCTTCCCGACCCCGTTCCTCGTACCCCGACCAAATTTTGCTCTCCGACCCCGCACCCCGTCCCGAAACAATCCGAAAACCCTGTACCCCGACACACCCGCCTACGAGCGTTCGGGCGCTACCCTAGTTTTATCTCTGTGGCCCTATAATAAAGAATAATCCCTGGTGGTCTTGTTAAATAATAATGAAGAGTTCACATTGGACTGGTATTATGCCAATATTTACTACTTCTTGAATAAATTTTTTCTTGACTAACTAACGTACCTTAAAAATATTAAATTTGTCTTTCAACACAATTCTCCCAAAAATATAGACAATAGAAACTTCAAAACTTCTAATTGTTAAAGCTGCGGATGATGAAATTTTGCCTAGGGATAAGGCATAGGAATAATTGCCAAAGGTATAGAGGCATAAAAAGAAAAATTCTTTTAAGAAAAATGGACTGAAAAAGAATTTTTTAAATTTGAATTTTCTTTAAAAATAAAAACCCAAATCGAAATCCATCATCAGAAAAAATTCGAGAGGATTTGCTAGTAATTTCTTTCAAGGACATTTGATTTTTCTTTATACATTTTTCATAAAATAAGAATAGAGGAAAACATATGATCTTTAAAAATAATAATATATTAAGAGAAGATACCACTAGAAAATACATACATAAGTTCGTTTCCGGAAAATACAATATTTATTAATTTTAATATTTTACTTAAGCAATTAATTAAATTATTACTTTTCCGGAAAGTGTATGCTTTAAAATTGTTTTTATTAATTTAGTAAAAATAAGTAGTGTTTCCGGTTTGTTTCCGGTTTAAGCTATGAAAACACAATTTAACTGCTATATATTTTCCGGAAACAATTTATACATATGTATGTAAAAATTATTTCCGGAAGGCTAAAGCAAGTATAAAAGCCTTCTGGATTATGTATTTTCCGGAAAACATTATTAAATAATTAAATTTTTCCGGAAGTTATACATATTCCGGAAGTTATACATTTTCCGGAAGTTATACACATTCCGGAAGTTATACATATTCCGGAAGGTATATTATTCACGAAAGTATAATCCCTAAATTATTAACATAAAATATTTCCGGAATTATTTTCCGGAAATATTTATATTTAATTAGATGTTTCCGGAATGAATATAACAAAAAAACTAAGATTTTATAGATTTTCCGGAAAACACTATTGAATAATTAACTTTTTCCGGAAGTTATAAATATTAATGTATTATTCCGGAAATTACACTCCCTGAAGTTACTAACATAAAATGTTTCCGGAATTATTTTCCTGTAAATATAGAATAATTTAATTTTTCCGGAAGTTATACATACTAGTGTATTGTTCCGGAAAATATAATCCCTGAAGTTCTTAACACAAAATATTTCAGGAATAATTTTCCGGAAACATTTATATTTAATTAAATGATTCCGGAACGAATATAATAAAATCTATGATTTTTTAAACTTTCCGAAAAACACAAATATTTAATTAAATGTATTTTACAAACCAAACAACAATTATTAAACCACATCATAGTATATGGAGGAAAAAAGTGAGTTGGATCATCATTTAAAAGAGAGTATTTAACTTGTGAGCCGTATCCGGTAGATATAGCTACAGACAGTATAGTGATAATTGTCCAAAATATCTTTAAAAAAAATTTTCTAAAAATTTCTTTTCATGAAAAAATTTTTTTGTAAAAATTTTTTTTTAATTTTTTTTTGAAAATAGAAAAATTTTTTCCTGAAAAAAATTTCCAAAAAAATTTTTTAAAATTTACCCGGCATTTTTTATCTCTTCTGTCATTTTTAATTTCATCATCAGATTCATTTACAATTTTATTCTTATGATCATTGTCCTCCATTTAATTAATAAAAAGTAAAAATATGTAAATTCAAATAAAAAATTAAAAAATAATTTAAAATTAACCAATAAAATTTTCAACAATTTATTTTTAATATATTATTATGCCTCTAAAATTACACCAAAATAAAATTATTTTTAAATAAAATGCAAAATAGTAAATAAATATATTTCCATAGTAACTACTTAATAATATTGTGTGTTGTTATCAGTAAATCTGATCGATGGGAAAATATTAATATTTTTTGTGACATTTATGGGATGTTGGAAAATGTTTTATTTATTAATTCTTAATAAAATTAAAAATTAAAAAAATTAAAAAAAATTTTAGGTCTATTAGAATAACTCTTTTTACCAAAATTAAACAAAATTATAAGAAGATCCAATCTTTAGTTAATAAATATAAAAAAATATGGCTCTACTCCAGTTTATGCGTCCAATCGACTTTTATGCGTCCAATGAAAGTTTATGCGTCCAATAAAAAGAAAATTGGATTTTTCTTGGTATTGTAAAGTTGGGGTATGGCTCCAAACCATTTCTTCATGTTCGGGAACTACGTCCATTGGGTCTGGGACCGTTCCTTACCCGACCCCTCGAACTTTCTGAAAGTTATAATCGTTTTTCTGAAATTTTAAAAAATTGGCTGTAACTTTAAAAAATTTCAAGGCATAGGGTAAGGAATGGTCCCAGACCCAGTGGACGTAGGTCCCGAACATGAAGAAATGTTGCTGGCCCATACCCCGACATTGCAATACCAAGAAAAATCCAATTTTCTTTTTATTGGACGCATAAACTTTCAATGGACGCATAAAAGTCGATTGGACGCATAAACTGGAGTAGAGCCAAAAATATTTCATACATATCCCTTAGCAGGGCTAATTTCAAATGCTGCTAGACATTCCAACTAGACACTCTCGATAACTAAATACAGACATATCAGTTTATTCCCTCCCAATATCTCCTAATTCTTTTTATCCCTGATTTAAGTAAAAGTAAAAAGCCTCCATCATTATAGATCAATCGAATCTGGAATTGCGAAAATCTGGAATTCCCGACGTATTTTTGGGTCGGGATCGGGATTTCCCAAAATCTTGAATTTTATTTTTATTTAATTTTATTTTTATTTTCAAAAAATCATATCTCTGCTCCGGAAAAAGATATTTCTAAGCGGTTTTGTGGTAGATGCTCACAAAAATATGCTTTATCAAATGGGTTTGTTAAATTTTTTCCGAAAAATTTTTCCGAAAAAATGGGATTTGGTATATCCGGTAGATCCGGATTATCTCGGCCAATTTTCATTTTCATGAAAAATGCAGAAACATGTCAACTGAGATACGAATAGAGCTTTCGATTGGTATATAGAACGTATTTTTTGAATGAAAAATTAAGAATTAAGAAAAAATTTTCTAGCGCTTCCATACTTTTTTCCACGACTGTATATAAAATTGAGAGCTAACTTTATCTTTATTTTATTATATTTTCTTTGTAATACAATACAGGATGAAATGGTGAGTAAATATTCTTGGATTTATATTTTTTTTATTTTTCCATTGTTCAGTTCGCCACTTTTGAAAGAAGGAAGCGAATTGTGGACTAACGTGAATGTGTCGATGATAAATATTTTGACTAGAAAAAAAAAGAAACGTGAGATGGAACGGAAAGAAGGTAAAAAACAAAAAAGAAATGCGTGAAAGAACAATCGCCCTTAAAAACAAAAGGAAGAATGAGGAAACCAAAAATCTTGAGTTGACAAAATAAAGCAAAACAAAACTAAACAGATTTTTACTAATTTATTCTTGTATTTTTAGAAATTATATGTATAGTTTTATTAGGGTTGAGGCCATGTCCGGTCCGTTAGATTGAATCAGGCATCGATTTGACCCGAAAAAGAACCTGGTCCGATAAAAATAGGCCCAGCCCTAATTTTTAGGCCAACCCTAATTTTTATATAAACTTGTAGCAAATTATCAGTTAGTTTTTCTGGTTTGTATCTGCATCGGAAATGTTAGAAACACTATAGAGCTGTTATGATAATTTTTCTGAAAATATTTATTCTTTTGCGGAAAAATAATACGCTTTTCCGAAAACCATAAGATATTTCCAGAAAATATCCTCATATGTATAATTTCTGGACACACTGTATATCAGGGGTGTGCCGAAACGGATTTTAAAAAGCGAAACGCGAAAGGAGAAATTAAATTTAAAAAGTGAAACGCGAAACGCGAAAGTAAATTTAAAAAAGCGACACGCGAAACGCGAAAGTCCAAAAAACGCGAAAATCCGCGAAAGGCGAAACGCGAAACGCGAAACTGGCACACCCCTGCTGTATATTATGTATATTTTCCAGTAAATTTTTTAAAATAATTTATATTATTGGTGAAATATATATGCTTCCGGAGATTGAAATTAAATGTTTCCGGAAATACATATTAGATAATAAATTTATTATCAGAATTTCTCCTTTACTATTTATCAATTAAAATTAAGTAATTATCCCACCATATTTTTTGCTTCAATATTTATTTTTAAAATACATAGATAATAATTTTACACCCAAAAATGCCCAAAAATTATTTTATAAAGCTTCGTCTGTCCACAAAAGTAAAAATATTTATTTATTTATTTAAATTCTTTTTTCCGTCCAAATCGGGAAAAAAACTTTTTAAATTTTCTAATAAAAATAAAAATAAAAGTGCTTTTCCCTCTTAAAATACACACAAATATTTAAATAATAATCAACGGTCAGCAAGCGGCTTTTTGATTGCTTTTCTCAATTTTTAAAGTCCTATGACTGTCTCTTCCTCCCTTCATTTTTATTTTCCCCCTTTAAATTCTCCGTTTATCCCAAAACTCTCGCCAGCCTCTTAAATAAGCATTCGGCTGTCCATTTAAAAAATTTTTGAAAAATATTTATTTACAAAGGTGCGTCTCTTTTTCCCTGCTTTTTGGTCACCTAAACAAAAATATAGTTTCTCGTCAACACTTTTTCTCGTCCTTGCCCATTCTTGACTTATTCCTCTTCCGATTGAATATTAAAATTAATTCTTCCCTTATTTCTTCCTTCATTATTCTTCCTTCTTTATCCCCCCACTCTTTATTCCCTCATTTCTTCCTTCATCATTCTTCCTTCTTTGTCCCTCCTTTATCCCTCCTCTCTCTATTCTTCCTTCTTTATCCCTCCTATCGCTTTATCCTTCCTTTATCCTTCCTTTACCCTTCCTCTCTATCCCTCCCTGCAAAGCTTATCCTCCTCGCAAGGATAAGATTTATCACTCCTCTCGCTTTATCCCTCCTCGCAAACCTTTAGGTTATCAAAGCTCCAAATTTTCGAATTTCAGAGAGGGATGGGGAACAGCTTTTTTAACCATTTCCATAGTTTCCTTTATTTCTTTTCTTCTATCAGGGTTATTAATAGCCGGAAGAATTAATTTTCCTTCCTTATAAACAAAAATATATAAACCCTCGGTTATAATTATAAATATAAATTATAAATATAATTATAAATTAAATATAAATTATAAATTAAATAATTATAATTATAAATTAAATAATTATAAACCCTCGGCCATTTCTCGCATTCCACCGTTCGGACTCCGTTCGTTTTCCCCTATCAAAAAATTTTGGTAACAATTAGGGTCAGTCTATCAGGGGGATCTATTAAAGGGGGATTATTAAGAGGGGATTATTAAATCCCGTCAGGGGGATTTATTAAAATGATGGTAACAACGAGAGTTAGTGCCCGGACCTCAGGGAGAACTTTTTCGGTAATAGGGATGTCGGGGATCATAGTCAACCAATAGACCTAAAACAAACTTCCGCCCCCGTTTTCCCCTATCAAAAAATTTTAATCTTCACCTTACTTCCTCTTTATCCCTCCAATCTCTCTTTCATTTTTCCATTTTTTAAATTTTAAAATAATTTTCTTCCTCATCCTTGTCCATTAATTTAATTTAATCCTCAAAAAAGCTCAAAAATCATTTAAAATATTTTTTAAAAGTTTTTTTCCTTTCCTCGTACCTGCTGGCACACAATAATACCTCAAACTACTGCCCATTCCTTGCCGCGCCTTCCACCACCCTCGGCCATTTCTCGCATTCCACCGTTCGGACTCACTTTTTAGCCTTTTTTCAATTATATTTTGAAGTAGTTTAAAAGCCTTGTTTTAATTTTTATTTGTTTTTAATAATTAAAATTTTTTAATGTGTTATTGTTGAAAATAAAATTTTTTTATTTGTTTCTGATAATAAAAGGTCTTTCGTTAAGGTCGAAGTTGGATTGATAATTTTAACAAGGCCTGGGGTTCTTTTAATTTTTATAAAGTTCTGCCTTAACTCTTAAGACACCACACGATTGGCTGGTAGTAATTTAGGAGATTTGGTCTAGTTCATGAGTTCAATGAAGCTCCATATTATGTCTTAAGGGTCCGAAAACAATTCTATAAATCCATCTTTAATAGATAACTATTTTATGCGGTTGCCCATATTCTTGTTCCTACCTTATCTTTAATCGTTGGCTAGATAGTCATAAAATCTTAAAAAATTGAATGAGAAGACCTGGCCTGAAAATTTTCAAAAAATTTTTCAATGCCTTCACTTCCAGTATTTAATATTTTCCCAATTTAATTCTCTCAATTTATGTACTTTCCTGTTGTTTCCCCAACATTTTTCTCATTCTACGCATTATTATCTACTTAAATCGTCCTCTATTTGCTTTTAGGCTGAATTTACTCAATTCATGGGTTTGCTAAACATTTTTATTTATTTTATTGATAATAAACAAAAATCATTTTAGGCCTAACTCTGACCCGAAACTAATAGGAAACCTCCTTCCCAGACTAAGGTGGGCGGATAGAGATATCCGGATCAGAGAATAATCGGATATCTCAAAACTTCGGATCGGATACGGATATCCGGATCAGAAATTTTCGGATTGGATATCAAATCCGGAAATTTCCTAGAATCCGTTAACTCTGAACCAGACATACACACTAGAGACACACACTAGAGACAGACACACACACAAGGCCTGGATTTTTCCTGTACCCAGAGTCCAGGTCCAGGCATTTTATGACCTTTCTCTGTTTTTCCTGGGCCTGGGGTTTTCTGGACTACAAGCCCAGGATCCAGTCCAGGTCAATAAATCTACCCAGAGTCCAGGAACATGTCCAGGCTTTTCAAAAATCTCGATCTCTAATACCCACATCCACTCTTCTTGCAGTTCCGAACATCTTTTGCTTCGACTGGAAGTGACTTCCACAGGAAATGCTTAAACTTGTTCAAAGCGTTAAATGACCCATTAGAAATTTAAAAATATTTTTTTTATTTAATTTCTCTCATTCTTTCACTTTCTCCCTCTCAAAATATTTACTTTATTGGATTGTTTGTTTGCCTCAAATAAACCAAGAAACGCCTGCGCGAAGCGATAACTGCTTCTTAATTGTCAAGGCTTTTGCTTTTTATTTTTAAAATATAAGAAATTGATTGATCAGAAAATTTTATTTCCGAAAAAAATGAAAATTTAGAACATTCTACAAGGTAAATAGCAAATAAAGCTTATCTGGTATCTGCATGAGTTTACAAGTTATTTTGGGAATGATCCAAAAAAATAAAAGCAATACCTTAGATTAGGGTTGTCGGTTTCACGGTATGTTTTGGTTAGCCGAAACCAAACTGACAAACCGAACCGAAAACTCTTCGGTAATTGGGTTCGGTTCGGTTCTTTTCGGTTTGAAACCGACAACCCTACCTAAGATTGATACAGTACTGAGGAAATGAACCAAAAAATTAAATAAGTACCCAAAGATTGTCACTATCCTCTGATTATATGAACGGATTTTAGTGATAGATCAACAATCTCACGTTTTGCTACTCAAGATTTGTTATCGAGACCAAAGCATGGTCAGGTATTTCTGCGTTGCAGTTGCGGACGTCCGCATTTGTTAACAGCTCTATTTCCTTATCCCCTTTATCTTACCACCCTATTGCTCAAGCCTGGATTTATTTTTGTTATAATTTGGCTTATATTCTCCCTCAATATACTCTCATTAATAACCTGACCTTTCACATTTTTCATATTATATCATAAAATAATCATTAAATATAGAAATAACCGCCAAAGGAATTGCGGTAATTAAAAGTTGGGAAGGGCACCTAATGGCCGAGATAACCATCTTTTGATGGAAGAAAAAGATCTGTTGGGTGCGCGAGTTAGTTCATCGAAGAAAAGTTTAATATTATGGGCATATATTTTAAAAAAATATTTTATTGACCTTCCATAGATCAAGAAATGTTTTATTGAGCAGTTTTTCTGTGACTGTTTATCCACGGCAAATATAATATCCTCCAATCTCCCAGAATATCTCAGCAAGTCAGGAAACTTCCTGATTTATTATACCCTCTCTTGTCAAATATCATCTTCAACCATCAGACTTATCACACCTCTTGTCACTAATGATCTTATACCATTATTGTAGGGATAATTCACCTACCAGCACTTAAAAGGGGTTAAACGATCTAAGAAGATAAAAAAGAAAGTATTAGTCGATGCCCCGGTACTCAGTGGTAGGGCCTATATTTGGTAGCGAAAGCGCCTACAATAACTAGGTCCCAGGTTCGAATCCTGCCCTGTGGCTAAACTTTTGCTAAACTCTTTCATTATCTTATCACACCTCTCCCACTTATCCATTATTATCACCCACACTTATCCCATGATCTCAGTATCTTGCCCATTATTATCGCTCAATCCCCCCTCCTCCACCCCCCTCCTTCACTTATCCCATCATGTCACATGTTTCCAAACCTCCATCCTATCCTACGCTTGAGATATGCCACTCTCCCTCATATTCCTTCATTTTATACATTCCCGAAGATTATGATAAGATAAGAATGAATAAAGGATTATCTTTTCTTCTACATATTCCGATAGTTCTTCAAAAATTCCCATTTTTCTCCCTTTTTCTGATTAATCTCCCGCATGCTTAAAAATAAAAACGTTCGTTCTTCTTCCCTTTTTTATTTGCCGCCCAAACTACTGGGCCGATTATAACGGACCATTTAACTACTACTTTTCAGCTTGATTTACAGCAAAAATGAAAAGAGGAATTTAAAAAATAGAGGCAAATAAAGAGAGAGTGTTTTTGATTGTACACTTTTTAAACGATCAAAAATAAATAGTAAATTGTCTGGGAATGGTTAAATTGGGACGGAAACTTGCCGAAAACTTTTTTTTGAATTTTTGGGCATTTTTCTCTTTTTAGATCTAAATTTCAGAATTTTTTGGCGAATTAATTTGATTTAAATTTATTAATAATGGGCAGTAATAAAAGAGGGGACACGCCCAAGTAGACGCACGGCCATAAAGGCGCAAAGCCATAACTTGCCGGAAATTTTCAGGCCCTTATCAATTTTCATATCGATCTCTTTATCTCAATGAGAGGAATCGTTTAATACTAAATTTGGTAAAATTCGGAAATCTTGAAGTTATGGCTTTGCGCCGTTTTGGCCGCGCGCCCGTTGTACCCATAAACGAGACTGTATGTATGTATATGGCCTAGCTTAGAATGTCTAAAATTGCTAAAAATGCTTCAATCTTTATAAAATTTTGCTAAAATATTCCCAATAAGGCTATCTACCATTTCTAAAAATTTTATAATTTTAAATCGCCGATTTTCAAAATTATAGGTAAAAATGTCTTGTTATTGCTAAAAATCGTGATTTCCTTGTTTAATTGATCGTAACCTGTGAAATAAAAAACCAGAAATTCTGAAATTTAAAGAGAAGGTACTTAAGACTATTAGGGATATTTATTTGTAGAAGATTCTGAGAATATTCATACGAGTTTAACATTAATATTTAAATGCGCGTTACGCTTGTTCCTCATGCAGCGACCAACGACCAATCCCTTAACTTTATAAAATAAATTCTGAATTCTGAAAAAAAATTTTCTGAAAATTAAAAAAAAATTAAGTAATCGTGTCTTAAACTAATTTTCAGATCTATCAGAATCAATTAAGAAATAATATTTAATATAATTCAATTGCTAATTTAATTATTATTTTAATAATTTTCCCCTATTTTTCCTAAATTAATAGCAAAACATCTCTCTCCCTATTAATTTCTTCTCCTCATTATTTTTCTTTAATTTAGAATTTTTTTTTAATTTTTAGAAATAAAAATAAACGTCAAAAAGTTTAAAAAAATATTTTTTTGAATTTGCCGTAAGGGTTCCCTTCACTCTACTTTTAACGTTCCCTTCACTCTATACACCCACTCCATTGCAAAATAATCGTCCCAATTTTGCGCGTTTTTGTAATTTTGCTCTCTTTATTAAGCGTTCCATTCACGTTTCCGTTTAGGTTAAATTAGAGCAAAATAAATGAAAATAATAGTGAAAATGGACAAAAATATGGGGATGGGTTTTTATTTTTTGAAAATAATTTTTTTAATTTTAATTTTTATTTTCAATCTTCTGTCAAGCTTTAACTGGTAGAGCAGTCTAAATTATTAATATTAATCTTATTCTCTATTGTCCCAGTCCCGAGTAGAGATGAGCTGGGCCTGGACCAAGGCCTGGGTTTTTCCTGTACCCAGAGCCCTGGCCCTTCCTGGGTTTTTCCTTCTTGACCTTGTTTTTCCAGGGTCTGGGTTTTTCCTAGACTACAGGCCCAGGATCCGGCCCAAGTCAATAAATCAAACCCGAAACCCAGGAACAGGCCCAGGCTTTTTAAAAATCTCGATCTCTAGTTCCGATTACTATCTTTACTAACATCTCTAAATACGCCAAACCACTCTAAATACGCCAAATTTTTTGTTTAAAAAATAACGGTTCCAAGTCTTTGGTGATCTTCCAGAAACTTCCAGGAATCTGTTAATCTTCCATAACATTCATAAGAACCTTACAACAACCAATTTTCTATCATTGTCCATGCTTTTCCCCTTAAAAAGTGACTGCTTCTCTCCAAATTCTCTTCCTTTGACTAATAATTTATTTCCTAATGTCGACCGGTCTCTGGTTATCTTCCCGAAACTTCCAGGAATCTGATAATCTTCCATAATCACTTATAGGGGCCTTACAATTTTACCAATTTTCTATAATTGTCCATGCTTTTCTCACTAAAAAGCGACTGCTTCTCTCCTACGTCCCTTCCTATAACTAATAAAATATTTCCTAATGTCGAACCTCAGTTTAAAAAACATCCTTTACTAACCTCATTTTTTTCCTTCCTTTATTTTTATTCCATTATTTTCCCCTCAAATTGGTCACCTGACTTAAAGATAGCCATTCCAACTAGGCGGCTGTCAATAATTCCCGACCGCTTATTTTTTGCAATATCATCTCCCTTTACCTTTTCCATTTCTAATGGAAAGAGCAAATAACCATTGGCATTTTCTTGTTTTTTTTCCTTCTCATTTTTCTGTTATTTTCAGCTTTTTTCTAAAAAAACTTACATTATATAGCTTCTGACCGCTTTAACTTAAATTTAGGTGTGCGCCAAGTTTTTGCGTTCTTAAAAGTTGGAAAACTTGAAAACTTTTTCTAAAAACTTTTTCACAAACTTGAAAAGCTTAGCAAACCTTTTTATAAAGAAAAAATAAAAACCAACCTTTTACAAACATTTTTACAAATTTTATAATTCTTAAAAACATGTTTTATTGAAAACTTTTTTTTCAAACTTATAAGTTTACAAACTTTTTTTCACAAACATTCTTTCACAAACATCCATTTTCACAAACTTTCTTCACAAACATGTTTTCACAAAATTTTCAACTACTCGTTTTACTAACATGTTTTTACAAACTTGTTCCTTACAAACTTTTTTACAAACTTTATAATTCTTAAAAACATGTTTCCTCGCAAACTTGAAAACTTGTTTTGCAATCTTATTAAAAGTTTACAAACATTATTAACAAACAAACAAACATTTCTTCACAAACATTTTCATCTATACTTGTTTTACAACATGTTTTTACTAACATGTCTTCACAAACTTTTTTCTTACACACTTGTCTTACAAACTTAGATTTTTACAAACTTCATTACTTAGTCTTATAGAGAACATTCATTTAATTCTCTTATCTCCTTCTCTAATTTAAGCCCATTATAGGCCAAGTTTGAATTGTTTTACGTTAAAACTTTTTTGGCGCACAGCTAAACAAAACTAAGGGGCAGTGTCCATTTATTTGTTGGGAAACTAGAAAAAACTTTTAAAAAAGAGAAAAGAAATATCTCGAATCTATTTTTGGAACAGCTCATTAGGGCAGAAAACGCTGGCCAATAGTATATAAAAATGTTTGAAGGGCAATGTGTAGGCGGAAAGGAAAAAATGTTAAGGCCTAGAGGGTAGGGTCAATGGACATTTAAGAAGAAAAAAAATTAAAAAAAAAAAGAAAAATAATTGTATAATAATAGAGTAGAAATATTAAACTTAAACAGGGGGATATTGCACGCCTTTTAATTTTACTTCAGTTTGATGGATTTTATTGGTTAGCAACAATGCTATATTATTTAAAAGAGGAGCTAATTAGTTGGTTATTCTTTCGTTAAAAATTAAGGTAGGCTTATGAGGACGTTAAGATTGTTTAAATAGTTTCCAGTTTAGGGAAAAAAATTATGTTAAGAACTCGGATCAGAGTTTCAACAATTACTTTAATCAGAAGCAATTGAGAGAGCTAGTACCGCTAGGCGTGGAAGACTTCGGTTGGAAACATTGACCGGGTTTCGAATTTCAAAGATCTGGTCCCGGTGTCAGGACAGGGGCATTATTTCTTTCAAAAAGCTAGAGCATCGAGAATCTAGATTTCTTAAGATATCGCTCTTTAATATTGACCGTACCCTCAAGTCTTGTCTCGGCATAAATCCATTTAATTTTGCCATCCCACAAAGGGACATGCAAAGGAAATTTTTTTTTAATTTTTTAAAAGCAATTGAGAGAGCTAGTACCGCTAGGCGCGGAAGCTGTTCTTTAGCCAACTAAATAAATAAAAATATTTTTTATTTTTTAATCATTTCACTCTTGCAAGGAAAAAGGGACTACGAACTAAACCTAGTAATTTATTATGCAAGCCTGAGCGTTCTGTTCTGACAGTATTTTGAAATTTTTGTTTCAGTCAAACTATAAAATGTACCTTTGTACTACTCACATCTAGTGTAGACATTTTCGGATATCTATATCAGGGCTGAGTGTCATGGCGTTTGGCGTTCTTTTTTGGCGCGATACTTTGGCGTTTTGCATTTGGCGAGTTTTAAAAATTTGAAAAATTGGCGTTTATCGTTAGACCTTCCACAAAAAAATTTTGGCGCACACGCCCTGATCCGGACCAGAAAGAAGTGTAGATATTCGAAAATTTTCAGTTCGGATAGAGGCCGGCCCATTCATAAGCATAGGCCGCCCTCCATTGAAACATACAAATTAGGTACCTTCTCTAACTTGCCCGAGAACATCTCCTGGAACCAAAGCTTCTTGAATAAAGCAGATACAGAAAATAAAAATATACTAACTGATTAACTCTTTATGATAAAAATTTTTTAGATAATTTTGCCATTAAAATTTATGAGGCATTAAATTGTTTTTATTTTCATTTTTAAAAAAAATTCCAGTTTTCCCCAATATTTTTCTTCATTTTTCAAAAAAAAAAATTTTTTTTCATTGCTTTTGGACAATATTTTTGTTTGTTTTTGTTTTTTGTTGCAATAGAGATTATTTTTTATTTTTCTACAAAATCAAGTTCTATCGCAATATAACCCTCATACAAATCCCACGTTGCAACGACTGACTGATAATGTTCATAAAATTTAAAATATTCTGTCATAAATAATTTTTAATGCCTTCCGTTTATAATCTTCTCTAGCCCTAAATATTTATTTTTTGTTTTTATGGCCTAATTTTGTTATTTAAAATATTTATATTTTGTTTTTGATTATTTTTTAGTAATTTTTAGAGACCTCTCTACTAGGAAAATCATCACTTCACGGAGAGACCTCTTTTGTCGAAGAGGCCTCTCTTGTCTTAAAGGTCTCCCTCACTAGTCGCTCTAATTAGTGAGTGAGCCCTTTAAGTCAAGAGAGGACCTCTCTAGTAGAGACCTCTTTGCAGGGGCGGTCTCTACTAGAGAGGAGACCGCTCCTGCAAGGACACACCTCTGATACTCACCTCTGATACATACACCTCAATCTAAAATATGTGTCCTAAAATCTAGTTAAATATTGGACAGGGAGCTTGCTAAGTTACCTAACTCTTTAAGCTCCTTTCCCTCCTTACTAGACAATGTAAGGAGGGAAAGGAGCTTTTTAGCCCTGATTTTTAGCCCTGATCTTATAATTAAGTAAAATTTTATTATTTATTTTTCAAATATTTTTATTTACAGACTTTTATCTTTTAAGTAGCCTCTAAATTTAAAAAATGTACATTGCTCCCTTAAAATATTTTTTATTTTTATTTATTATAGTTGCTATTAATACATATTATACTGCTACTACAAATGCCATTTCCTGCGCATTCCTTTTTAAATATTTTTTATTATTATTTTGCTTTAAGTAAATATTTGTAAGTAAGCATTTAAGTCTGTCTAGAGTTTAATAAAAATCAAACTCACGATACTTCATAGGGTTAGGAGAGGGAGCAATTTGGAGATTTTGGGAGTCTTGGGAGTTTTTTTCTCCAACAAGCTTTGGGAGCTATTCAAAAACTTCCTAAGAACGTAACCAACTACAGATGCAACTCCATAACTCCATATCTGAGTGAAGTCTAGCACCTCTTCCTATATAGAACTTCAAGGTATAATGTCACATCTATTCTTAAGATTCTTTCACATTTATGCTCAACTGGTTTTTAAAATATTTGATTTTTAAACCTCTTAAATTTTTTGCAAACCTCTTTTTAAAGTTTATCCAAATATTTTAGATTTGAAAATTTTTTTTAAACTTCTTTAATGAATTATTTTTTTCCTCTCTTAAATTTAATCTCTCCCTCTCCCCTTTCTCCTTTTCAAATACCTCACTTTGGCCTTTCCTCGAGAATAAAAAAATTCTCTCATTCTTCCTTATTTCCTCTTATTGCCAGTCAAAAAAGCCTCTAGCTGTCCCGACGTTGAAAAAAAAGCTTTTTCTTGTTTGTCAGTGTCCGGTTGCTTTGGACTCTGGCCGGCGGTTGTGCGACTGGCCTTTTTTTATTTTTCTTCTTTTTTCTTCTTTTTTTTCGCTTCACATTTTCAATTTCCTCCATTGCCAATTTTTATCTCTCTCTAGCTCCTCTCTCGTTCCATTGCCCATATTTGGCTTTTAAGGGAGAATTGGCTCGATGGCGACCATCTCAACGACCATTCCCTCCACTTTTTTAATACACGTCCACGCACACACGGGAATGCAAAAAAATGGAGGAGAATGGGAAGGGAATGGCCAGTCATCTAAACACAAAAAAAACGTCCGGCTGGCCATATAGGACAGTTTAAACGAAAAATGTTTTTGGGGGATGGGAGAGTTTTTTTCTCTCAAAACTGTCATCCAACACCCCCTACCCTCCCTCCACACCTCCCCTTCCATTTTCGGAAATTAAAACTCTTCCCTAAAAATCGCCATTAAATCGCCCTCTTCATTGGCTTCACACATTCATTATTTGTCCACACATTGCTGCTAAATTGGGGGCTTTTTATCAAATTTAGGGTGAATCGTTTTTAATCTACTTGTGAGTCATCTAATCAAATGATCAAAACATAGGAGAAATTAATTCTTTGAATATTCCTTCCTCTAGGGACCGATTAATATATGGGAGTCTTGGGAATATATGTATATATTCGGATGTATTATAGCTGGATTAAGCTGTTTGTGACACCAACTAAGCAGTTAACACCGATCATGTATTTTAGAGATGGCAATGTATCATGGTCTTGACATGAGCTTTCCTTTGGGGATTTTCTTTCTTAATTCCAGAATTTTGGAAATTTTTGGTCTTGGTCAGCCTCTCTATTCTCTTTATCATTTTTTAAGTTCCCTTTACTTTCTTGATTCTAATAATCGAAAATTTAAATGTAAAATTTATTCCTCCATTGTAGGTTTAAATTCTAAAAGTTTTTTTTGGTTCATTTTCACCTCTCTAGGGTCGAAAAAACGTTAAAAAATATTGCCATGACATTCCATTTTTTTTAGTTTTTTTCTTCTTTTTTCTTCTTTTATCTCTCGTTTTTTGCCTATTTCCACTCATGACCAGCACAGCTGCCCATCTCGAGAATTGCGACTTGCCAGCCCTCAAAGTCCGTGAATGAGGGTATAGGGGCTAGGCCATTTAGCCGGGCAAAAAATGTTAAAAGAACGATGGGGCATGCCTACAAGTGTTAGTTAAGATAAAAATAGAGTGATACTAGAGCTGAGGGCATTAACTATGATTGTTTGGGGACAGTGGCTCTATGGGCAGCGGTGGGCGTTCTCTTATAGCAGGAATGTGAAGTTGTTAGTTAAAGTTTTATTGAAGGTTAGCCTTCTAAATCCATTCGGACCTCATTATAAGATACCATTGAGGGTTACAAATTAAATGAGGTGTCTCCTAAATAGAGGGCTTTGTTTGAGAAGCCTCCTATCAGTGTTAATCAAATTTTAAGCAATGTTTATTAAATAGAGGTGTTCTAATATTGAGTTGTATATTATATGGAGTTCCGTCTAGAGAAGTCTCTAAGAGAGGTCTAATTGACTAGAGGAGTCTCTAAGAGAGGTCTAATTGACTAGAGAAGTCTCTAAGAGAGGTCTAATTGACTAGAGGAGTCTCTAAGAGAGGTCTAATTGACTAGAGAAGTCTCTAAGAGAGGTCTAATTGACTAGAGGAGTCTCTAAGAGAGGTCTAATTGACTAGAGAAGTCTCTAAGAGAGGTCTAATTGACTAGAGGAGTCTCTAAGAGAGGTCTCTCCGACTAGAGGGATCTCATACTACCTTTAAACATAATCAAAAAATCTCTCAAGGTAAAGTACCACAACTTTAATAAATTATAACTTTATTGTAGAAAATTATTTTTAAATAATTTAAAAAGTTAATATGCTCAAAATTGTTTGAAAAATTATATAAAATAGGTTAGAAAAAATTTTCTTTGAGTTAAAAAAATTTTTTTTCGGTAAAAATAGCCTATCTGATTTAGGGATTACTGTTATGAAGCTACCTATTTTTTAAATTTTTGATCTATGTATTAAAACCTCAAAAATCTCAAAAATCTTATCAAACATGTTTGTTTACATTTTTAAAAATATTATTTACTATTTATCAAAAAATAATTTTTTAAAAATTATTTTTTTGTTTCACTCTCTTTGCAGCTGCCTTTACTTGTCATTTTTTACCTTAACTCATTACTGCCCATTTATTTATTATTTTTCATTTTCAGCTGTTTAAATAATCTCATCTATATTATTTTTCTTTATATTTTATTTCTTATCAAAGTGACCATTCTTTGTTCCAAAGTAATTTAAAAAATTGGGCGTTAATTGTTTTTTAATGGTACATAAAATAGACTGTCAACTTTGAAATTCAGAAATTCTGATTTTTGAGCTTATATTCTGATAGATAATATAAGATTGATAAAAGCCGTATAGTATAGAGCATTCCCTGGATCCCGGAACGGGATTAATCCCGGTAATCCCGTTTGTCGCTCAAAGCCCGGTTTTCATTATCGGGATTCCGTAAAATCCCGTACGGAGTCCCGTCCCGTGCCGAGCTCTAGTATATTATTTGCTAGATAATAAGTGCTGGATATCAATCGTTTTGTTGCTCCAATTCGCGTTCTTGACCTTTTTAAAATTTTGGATCAGCAATAGTCATAGCCAGCTCCATGAGCCACCTACAGCACTGATATTAAACCAGAATTACCTATATTAATATGTTACTTCCCCATCTACTTATTTTCTCTTCAATATTTTCTCGCTTCACAAAAATTTAACAATTCATGCTTCGGATAGTTCCACGTTTCCACCTTGATGCTGTAATAGAAAATTTATTCCTGTAACCGATACAAGGAATCGAGAAAATACTACCGCCCATTTACCTTATAAAAACTATCTCCTTTTTAATATTTCAAAATAAAAATTAAAAAATTTTAAAGTTGCCTGAGAAGGTTTGTGGATGGAAGAAGAGAGCACTTCTGATGACCCTCTAACTCTAATTAAGCCAACAACTTCATTCAATTCCTTCCCCCAAAAATTATCTTCTCCCCTCCTATCAGAAAATACACCAGACTTTAATAATTTGATTGACGAATTTGTTGATTTAAGCGAGTGGGGTGCTTTGAGTGATGGCGATTTGTGCATGAGTAGGCAATTAGCTGCAACAATAGGGCAGGAAGGAGGAGATGGGAAGGAGGAGGAAGCGAATTTAGGAAGAAAAGAAGAGGAGATGAATACTGAGGAGAAAAAAGGAGAAAATGAAGAAATGGAGGAAGAGGATGAGTTTGAGGAAGAGGAGGTTGAATTTTGTGAGATTAATCAGGTTGTCAAGCCTACTGGAAATTTAAACAATTCTGTGGGTGAATGGCACCAGTTTGCCGAACAAAACATTAAATACGAGAACAACAATAATATGAATGTGAATTATTTAAACAATGGAAACAACAACATTGTTAGAGATAGGGAGACGGAAAGGTGAAAACAGAAATAAATAATAGAACATTCCCAAACATGTTTAAAAACATAGACCAGAATTAATTTAAAACAATGTTTTTCCAATTAAAGGGAAAAACATGTTCAAAACTTTGTTTAGAACTTTGGTTAAAACAGCTGGAAACATATGAAATACAAAAACACATGTTTCTCTCACAACAAACTTCCGGAAATGTTTTAGTGTTTTGTGTTTTTTTTGTGTTTTTGTGTTTTCCGGAAAATATTAAATTCCGGAAATATTATATAATGGTTTTTATTAATTTCCGGAAAATTTATTTGATTCCGGAAACCTTATATTTATTTTTATCATTCTTTACGGAAAATACATTTAATTCTGGAATCTTATACACATAATTATTTTTATTAATTGATTCCGGAAACCTTATAGTTATTTTATATTATTATTATTTTTTCCGGAAAATATAAATTCCGGAAAATACTGAAATACCTAATAAATAAACTAGTATTTATCCCTAAAAATAGTTCCGTTAAAGTTTTGCAAAAATAAGGCCTTTATAATATTTAATTAAATTTGCTAAATTTTTAGCGAGTTTGTTTACCAATATAACAACCCTCAAAACGAGGCATCATCATCTTCACCTGGTTCATTTCTTCAAGTATCAGACCATTCCCCGTTAGCTCTTCCACCTCCTCCCATAGTTATATCACCCCAAGAAGTCGACAATTTAACTATAACGTTGGAAAAGAATCAGCAATGTGCATGTTCTGAATGTGGGAAGCTGTTCAACTCTGTTTGGTATTTAAAACAGGTATATAATAAATATTTTATAAATTATTTCTAAGTCCGGAAATAGTACGGAAAATAATCATAATGGAATTATAGATGAAATACATATACCGGAAATTATATTAATATTTGTGGACTTCCGGAAATTATAAATCGAGTCATTTTCCGGAAAGTATTGAAATTATTATTGCGTTTACTTAAAAATAGACATTGATTCCGGAAAAGATTAAAAGAAAAATTTACTCCGGAAAGTATGAATATATTTCTTCCGGAATTCATATTCCGTAAATTAACTTCCGGAATATATATTCTGACTAGCAAATTAAAGAAGCTATCCGGAAAAACATCACAAAAAATTAAATTTATTCCGGAAAATATTTTCAGCATGCAGTTAAACACAGTAATGATAGGCCATTTAAATGCCGGTTTTGTATGAAGGTAAATAATAAATAAAATTAAAATTTTAAATAAATATTGTTGAAAAAATAATAATCTTTAGACCTATAAATTTCGTTCAAATCTGTACCAACACAAATGCCCCGAACGGAATCGTCTTTTAGTTGCCGGCGAGTTCAATATGATTGGACATCCGTTAGTAATCTTTATAAAATTTTAAATTTGTTTAATTTATCAGATACCGGCGTCGAGCATATACTAGATCAGCTGACAAGAAAAAATTGAAAGAGCATAAAATACAAATGTTGCAAAATCAGAAACAACAATTTAATAATGATAAGCAACTTAATGGGGGTAAATAATTAATTTTAATTATGTAATTGGTAGATATTCTCAAAGACCATCCTCATATACTTATGAGTAATATGTAGATCCTCTAAATAAGGCTCACTAGAATTTAAAAAACTTTTAGGAAGTCCGCAATTGAATTTAGAAATACGCAATTAAATTTAATGGTTGGTCATGCACTCATGCACCTTTTCTGAACTAATAAAGAAGACATATAGACAGGTCCGAACAGCCCTAGACAAGTCTGAACAGTCCTAGACAAGTCCGGACAGCCCTAGACAAGTCTGAACAGTCCTAGACAAGTCCGGACAGCCCTAGACAAGTCTGAACAGCCCTAGACAGGACCGAACAGCCCTAGACAAGTCTGAACAGCCCTAGACAGGACCGAACAGCCCTAGACAAGTCTGAACAGTCCTAGACAAGTCCGGACAGCCCTAGACAAGTCTGAACAGCCCTAGACAGGACCTAACAGCCCTAGACAAGTCTGAACAGTCCTAGACAAGTCCGGACAGCCCTAGACAAGTCTGAACAGCCCTAGACAGGACCGAACAGCCCTAGACAACTCCGAACAGCCCTTTACCTAATTTATATTTTATCATCAAATTTTTTTAATTTTTAAATTAAATCAGTCAATCATCAACAATCTCTCAATCCTACAATCTCAATAAATACTACCCCAACACCTTCATCCACCTTTGGCAAGGAGTTGTATTCTCCCCAGCATGTTTCAGGGCAACAAAAGTATCCATCAGGGATCAAAAGTGAAGAAAATGGGCTTTTAATGATGGGTAATGGAATGGGGAAAAATGGAAATTTGAATGGAACATATACAAATTATTTGGCACAACAAGGAGTGGTGTTTATGAATGATAATTGCTCCCCAAGTGTTAATAGCAGTTCAAACTTGGCAACAAATAAACCATCCTTTATGGGTGAATTAAATGGGCAATATGAAGATAATGGATTTAATAATAAAAGTGAATCTATTGAGGAAAATAGAACATTATCGACGGAAGTCTTGGAGGAATATTTACACAAAAATAGACACAGGGTAGAGAGAATTTTAATTTAGGAATTAAGGGACATCTGAAATGTATTGTAAGAAGAAATTTAACACTGTAAACAGCGTAGAGCAGAGGTTTCCTGTTACGGAACCACAGAAGCGTCATAGGCTATTTATTCAGGTGTTTAACTGCCGAAAGTGCAAGCATGGAAATATAAGAAATCTCTAAATGTTTTCCTGGTTCCATGGCCGCGGTTTTAGGTTACCGAATCATGGAGATACCTACTAAAACTCGAATCATGGAGAAAAACTGTCGTGCTTTTAAAACCAGGAAATCACTAAATGGAAGGACGACTACCTGTCACCTTCACAACTACTGTATAAAAATCCCGACACCTAACTGCTAATATTTATTTATTAATCCTATTTACACCAAATCCAGACATATCTCCACTAAACAAAAAAATTTTCCATGCACCTCAACATAAAAAATTGGTAATAGACTTTATTTATTCAGGTGTTTAACTGTCGAAAGTGCAAGCTTTACTTCCCTAGCCGCGAATATTTTGGCAGACATATGGCTTATCACAACGAATTGGACACTTATAAATTTCACTGTGAAAAGCAAGATTTAGCCATTTAAATTTAAAAATTAATTTGTTTAATTAGATGCACTGAACGTTTCCATACGGAACAGGATTTACAGACACACCTCTTACAGCATGCGGATCATTCTCCCCATAATTGTAGAAATTGTAATGGGATATTTAGGTAATATAAAATTTAAAATAATAATTGAATAACTAATTTTAAATTAATTTTTATTTGAAGATCGGCATTGGCTCTGAGGCGGCACAAAGACAACTGGCCACAGTGTCATTCTCCTCCTATCGGAATGGTATTATTTAAATCGAACCCTACTTTAAGTACCCACCCGTACTGAAAAATCGTTCTTATAATGAGGGAGATTTTAATAAGGGAATAGGCCATGGATATTCAGATAAGGACTTTTCCTCAATTTTTTAGACTTCCTCAATTTTATATTATTTCCATTGGTAGTTAAAAAAATTATGAAGAAGATACGATATAAAGTCCGTTAAGAGATTATAATTCCACCCATTTTTTGTGTTACATTTAGTTCCTGGAACAGTTATAGCCTATATCAGAATGATAACGAAATTTATTTTCAAGCAACTCCCTTTCTTTGTCAACCCAATAGATCAATTTTCCTTTGTTGGGAGTGATTTAAACGAATTTGCTGATCAGAGTGATAATGAGGAGGATAGCGATGAGTATCAACAAAAATTTTCTCGTTATGAGACAATTACATCAGCAAAAAATGATGGGGTTTTAACAAGGAAAACAACACAAGATTCTGGTTATCATGGATCTGACACTCACAGTCCTGCTGGGTGAGGAGGATTTTTTATGGAGCTTAATCAAACAATAAAATAATCCTTGTAAAAATTTTTAAAATTTTACTAATTTTTAGGAGCCATTCTCCAATTGACGATAGCTCCGGTTCCTTCCCTTCGTCTTCTCATTCGTTCGATTTTAACCAAAAAAGTTCTGTCAAAAATGATTCATCCGATTTTGGAGGATTTGCTTCCGTTAAAGAAGTCTATTCATCAACTATTTACAATGAGAGTCCAGCCAAAAACGGGGGAACAAAAATACTACATGAGTATGGATTGTAACAGAATATTTTCTATAATAATTATGGTAAGTTTAAAATTACACATATGTATACGCACTTTCCGGAAGATAATACACCTACAAATACACCCACTTTCCGGGAAATAATTTCAATTATGATTAAGTTTTATAAATTTTCCGGAAAATACCTAATTTTTATAAACTTTTGTATTTTCCGGAAACTTTTATTTATTTATATATGCTTTTCCGGAAATATTAGTTACTAACTCTTGTATTTTCCGGAAATTATTAGTTTTCCGGAAAATACTTGTGATAAACTTGTATTTTCCGGAAACTATTTATTTAGCCATGTTTTTCCGGAAATATTAAATAGCTCTTGTATTTTCCGGAAACTATTACTCTATTTATAAAATACACTTTTCCGGCTATATTTTTTATAATCTTTCCGGAAATATTTATATAAGCATATTCTTTACTTTTTTCCGGATTCACCTCTTATTGTGTTTTCTAAAGTATTTTCCAGAATGTTTTGTATTACACTTACAATGTGTTTTCAGGAATTGTATTTCTCTACTACAAACAACACAAACAACCACAACAAATTTATTATTAAATTTTTAACGTCTTTCATTAAATTAAAATTTCAATTTAAAATTAACCACACGATTCTTTCAAAAAAATTTATTTTAAAAAGCCTTTATTTTTTCTTCAAAAATTTCTTTATTTTATTGTCCTTCACTTTTCTATTATTTTTATGATTCTTTCAATTTTTTTTCAAATTTTTTTCAAGTCACTTAGTTTCAGTGGGGCATATCCCCAAAATTGTGCTTAGCCCTTCCCCCTATATTTTGTACTATTTTAAATTTCTGGGCTAGCACACAAATTTTGGCAAAATTTTTGGATTTGTCCCAGAGTAAACTATTTGGGTTTCCCATTCCTACCACAAAAAAAATTATTTTTATTTTATTTCTATATTTTTATTTGAATTATAATTTAGAAGGATTGAGAGAGAAATATTCTTAATTTTGCTTGGGTCTTAATTTTTGAAAATTTTGGGAGAGTGAGATGGTTCTGTGCGAAAATTCTGTGCCAAATTGGCGCTTTCAATACCCTTGCATAGAATTTTTTGATCTCCTCAAAGCAGGCCCAGGAACAGAGTCCGGTCTCTTCAGCCTGTTCCTTCCATGCTTCCTTCCCCTTTGGCTCCTCCCCTTCATAAATTTCAATGAATTTGAATTTCTTATCATGAATGGAAGAATATGAGACAATGATGATTTAATATAATCCAGCGAACACCTCTTGCTGATGCTTACCACGTATAAGCGCTTCCCCCGACACAGCTCCCTAATTATTTTCAGCTCTTTAATCCTTTCAATCATTCTAAATCTATAATTTAATTTTTATTAATTTTATTTAACCTAATGCTTGAGTTTTTCAATTATTTTTTTAATGACGACTGTATTTTAACAATATTTAAAACTGCCTATGTAATTTTACCTCGCCCTAAACTCCTTCAATACTCCGTTCTTTCGATTCGTTTTGGTTTTTAAAAAACCTATTTTATTTCCCAAAAATAAAAAATACCTTAAATTTTGAAATAAAACGAAAAAGCTGAGTAAACCCTTCGGAGTCTTAACTTAAGCTCTCCTTTTGAGAGATCTTTGAGAGATCCAAAAAGTTTTATTTCAAAATATAAGGCATTAACTATGTAAATTACATGACATGTTTTCACTAAAATAAGCTTTGTAGAATTAATAAATTTAACTTTATGTTAAAGAAGCTTGATTTAGCAGCGGTCTTATTTTAGTAAAACTTTGGTATTTTAATTCAGGGTTCAGCGGTATCGGGATACCGACCGGTATCGGGCGGTATTATACCGGTCTCTTTGAATACCGATACCGATTTTACTGATACCGATATCATTAACTCAAATCCCGATACCGATTTAGGCTAATCCCGATCCCGAGTCGGTACCGGTATCGGGATCGGTATCATCAATCCTAAATACCGATACCGTTTTTTCTCGGATTACCGGTACGCTGAACCCTATTTTAATTGTCAAAAATTTTTTAATTTTTCTTAGTCTTACTGATGATATTCGATTCCTACAAGTTGTATATAATTATTATTTTTTATTGTTACTATAAAAAATTAAATTTTTGGTCCTTGGTGGATATCTCACAAAATTTTGATAGCTCCCGGGGCTTCAGATTCATCACTCCTTTTTGCAACTCACTTTTGGCTCAATTCTCCAAGTGGAAGATTTAGGTAACCTAGTATAAATCAAAAAAAGCTTCAAATGTTTAATGCTCCATGTAAAAAATTCCTAAGAATTCTGAAAAATTAACAAATAAAATACTACGTATTGGACCAAAAATTAATTTTTAATTACAATTACTATTCCCATCTTTGAATACATGTAAAGCAGGGCTCTCATTTATACTTTTTTAAAAGTATTCTACTTTTAAATCGACCTCCATGCTTACGAAATTGAATTTATACTTTTTTGAAAGTATCTACTTTTAAATCAACATTTTGGATTGAAAATGAAATTGGGGAAGGGATTGGGCAAAAAAGTGAATTTTTTCGGCCTACGGCCTTTGAAATTATCAAAATTTTCGCCTGCGGCGCTGAAAAAGGAAGAAATTTAGCTTCTTGGGCTCCAAATTTCAAAAAATTTTCGCCTGCGGCGCAAGAAATGGAAGAAATCTGGCTTAAGGACTCCAAAATTCTCAAAATTCTCGCCTGCGGCGTTGAAAATGGAAGAAATCTGGCTTAAAAACCTCCAATTTTCAAAAAATTTTCGCCTGCGACGCAAAAATAGAAGACTTTTTGTTGCCTTCGGCGCCACAAAATGTGCATTGAAATGCACAAAATGCTCAGTGGAAACAAGAAATTATTAGAAAAGATTCATTTAGGAGGGAAATATGAAAGATTTAAGGACGAATAATTATTTTCTAATTTAATTTTGAGTATACTTTTTATTTGCAAATTTTCTCCCTATATACTTTTTAATCGAGATTTTGATACTTTTGAGTGGCATTTTGTCGATGAGAGCCCTGATGTAAAGTATTATTTTCTGTTACATACAGGGTGGGGCAAAAGTTCGGCGACAAATTTTATTTTGTCCTTTCTTAAAATTTACTTTATATTTTGCTTTTTGATTAGATTTCCCATATTCTATGATTCGCGCTCTACAAATTTTATCTTGAAAATTTTTTCCTATCTCATAAAGTAAAAATTTTACAGTCTGTTAAAGAATCGTGCTTCTATTATTTCTTTGTATTTTAAAAATGTTCGAAAATGAGACATCGCTAGACGGCTAGATATCTGTCGTATGTTGGTTTCCAAAGCAATAAAACGATATCATGAGCTTGGAAATACTCAGGACCGTCCTAGTAGTGGCCGGCCGGTAACCGAAGTCACGACTGAAAACATGAACGGACGTCAGATGCCGAATTTTCCGTTTTTCTGAACAATCGATGTGAAAAACGGCCTCAGATCTTGGAATGAGCTCGAGGAGCCTCCTAAAAATTATCAGAGTGAAGCTAAGACTTTGGAGTTACAAGATCAGCCGCTCATATTTCCTTAGCAATCGAATGAAGCATAAGAGACTTCAAAAATGTCGAAGGATTAAACGCCTGGTCGCAGCTGGTCGTCATAACAGAGTGATGAATGTAAAAATTAATGCCAGTCTAAAAAAATGACATTCTGAGGGGGGTTGTGCATCCATGGGCGTTATAGCATTTTGGTGAAAACCAATTCTCGCTTCAGCAGGATTGGGTACCTGTGCATGGAGCCAAAACGGCAAATCAGCTCTGTGGGGAGCTGTTTCCTGGCTTTTGGGGGAAGATATCTGGCCTTCAAACTCAACGGATTTAAATCCGTGGATTATTCTATTTGGGCAATTCTGTAGCAAAAAGTATGCCGAATCCGATACGCAACATAGGAGGAACTGAAAGTTGTTTTGAGCGGGACTGGAACTAATTATCCGATGAACAATGCGCGACCATTGTTTGTCACAACCGAAAGCGTTTGGATGCGTGTAGTTCAGTCAGGGGCGGTCATTTTGAGAAATTACTTTAATAAACTGATTATTATAGCCTATTGATTATATTTTATCATTTTTTCATGTTAAATAAATTTTTTTTACAATAAATTTTATTAAAAACTTTTGTCGCCGAACTTTTGCCCCACCCTGTATATTTTTCAAAAAATATTTTTTTTAATTGTGTTAACTCTTCTTAGAAACTATATTAGATTCCCCTTCCTTAAATTAATTTTATTAATTAAATTTACGCAAAAAATTTTTTTGTTGAATCAGGTTATACCTTGCATTTTACTTGATCTACAATTTCCCGTAGACTTTAAAATGTTTGAAATTGTTTCGAGACATTCCCCAAGCTCATCTTTGGCGTAGCTTCCTTCTTAACTTACCCGCATGCTCTATGAAAATTTTCCTTTCTATCTAGCTTCTATCAGCTCAAAGCTTTTTAGATCAGTTCCAGCTGAAAGATATCCGGGATTCGATAGCTGAACTGTAAAATGCGGGACTTTTTAGGATTTGATCAGTGGGGAAGAAATTTCAGATTGCGTTTGTGGATAAATTTTTTTAATTGCGTCCACCCCTGATTCTGATATAACTACCGTATATGCTCTAATAATTACGCTGGGTAATTATTGTTTCAACCTTTCGCTGAAGGGGGTAATTAATAGAGCATATACGGTACCCCCCTCCCCCTACAAAGTACGAGGTTAAAGTTATAACCTGAGTCAACTTATGCTTAAAAAATAATTTCTCTGATAAAATATTTTACTTTTCTGAATTTGATAAGAAATTGAAACTTGATATCGGAGAAATTATTTTTTATTTTATATTGACCTTTCAGCCTTTCTAATTTTTTAAAAATATTTTCCACCACATTATATGTATTTTTAAATACAAATTATATACTTATTTTATTATTATAGTAGATTTTAGTATTTTTTAATAAATTTGATTAAAATTTTAAATAAAATTTGATGACAAAGTTACCCTATTTATGAGAGAAAATGGAGCTTAATCGAGGCCGGTCGACAGCTTGATCGAGCAGTTGACTGATATAACGCAAATTGACTAAGTGAGTAACCGAGAGTTCCAGACCTGTCTTGGACACTGATATATCACGTATCCGGATATATAGGTGTACATTGACAGTTATCCGGCTATATCCGTGAGGTCAATATTCGTATCCGATTTTTCAAAAAAATACTATACATATCCATACGTATCCGCAGATATCCACGGGTATGGATATTATGTCTCCATGGATATGTAGGTCTGGAGAATTATATCTCCTAGATTGAGTACCTCAAACTGAATGAAGTCTTTTATTCCTACATTCCTTTCGATTTTATTGTGAGCCTTAATTACACTCAAACTATGTACATTAAAATGCCAAGAAATAATTTTTATTATTAAAAGTCCATTAAATAAATAATTCAAGTATATCAAGAAATTCATTTCAATTTCTTCATTTTCTTAAAATTTTCAATTAAACATTCATAACTCGATTTAACTGGGCATAAACTTTCCAAAAGTGTAGTGTCCAAAGCACAGTTTCCTTTAGTTGCGTATAATTGTTGTCCTAATTCAGATTCAATTGAAATACGCTCAAATTCGGGTAGGGAAGTGTCAAAATGCTGAAAAATTTTGGAAATATTGGAAAATAATTTTGATAAAAATGCTAATTATCCTCCTTCTGAATACGGATTTAGATCCATACCAGAATTCGAGTTTAAGGTAGGGAAGAGAGAGGTTCTTCGGTTTGAGTAAGAGAGTTCTTCGTTTCTATTAAAACGAACGTTCCTCAACCGATTTAAGGTAGATAAGAAAAAGAGTTCTTCGGTTCGAGGGAGAGTTCTTCGGTCGATTCAGTTTCGGTGAACCAGTAATTCCTCAGTTGAACCGAACCTAAGGAAAAAATTTGTTCAGTTTCTCCTTCTAACAGCCCCAAACAACAGCAAATATGACTCTGAGAGCTTGCTACGATGTTGAGATCTTGAAATTTCTTAAGCCAGAGTCATGAATATAAAAAAGGTCGGGGCCGGAGACACAAAACTTCGAATACCCCCAGCAATGTTTATTACTTGAGAGAAAATATTAAAGTTTTCCAACCTCTTTGTACAGATCTAAAATTGTTGCCAGACTTATAGGTACAGGATTGACCAAGTTCATGGTGACTGTATGTCGTTTAATCATCAACTGGATTAAAGCAGGCAAGCAATCAGGCATTATAGTGATTGAAACGGGGATATCAAAAATTTGTCTAAAAATTTTTTTTAATTTTTAAATCTTTTCAACTGTTTCTACCTATATTTTATAATTTTTGAAAGCAAATTTCGGTCATTTTCCAAATCAAAATTCAATGGAAGTGTGATACGGGCATTTAAACATTCTTGATAGTTAAGCCGTTGGATCATTCTATCAGTGAAGCCTTTTACGACAGAATAAGAATTTCCAAAGAACGTAGGCAGGTCTAAAAATTTTATGGTGTAAGCGAGCCATGAGAATACTGTCAGTATAGTTGCAGGTTTGGTTCCTGCATGGTTGCTAAACCATTGCTGAACCTTAGCCAACCCCTACTAGAGTTCCTTGTAGTGATCGGTCTGGATCTGGATCCAGTCTAGATTTTTCCTGGATCCAGCCAGAGTCAAGATCCAGGCATATTTTGATCGTCCTAGATTTTTTGTGGATCTGGATTTTTCCTGGATCCAGATCCTGACCAGTGTGATAGGAAAAAGAACAGCTGTCACTAAACTTTTTCCTCATCCCCAATTTCTTCAATTCATTCATATATTGTTTAATAAAAATACTCCCAAAAGAATAAATATTTGTTAAAAGAAAAGTAGAGGTTTAATTTAGAAAAAGACGCTCGAACGCGTCTCCGGTTCCCTTTCGGGAACCGGAGACCCAACGTTCGAGTCCTCATTAAACTTTACTATTATATGGAGGTCCTAGAATGACCGTATCGCTAACTGGATTCAACACAACAATATTTTATTTCAATTTATTAAATTTATTATTCCAACTTATAAATTTCAACTTATTAATAATTATTTTATTACAACAAATTTTAATGTTTCTATTCAAAATATAGACATTTTCTGTCTTGATTTAATTTTAAATTGTGGGGATTGACTTCACTGAATCAAGTATGTTATTACTTTCCTTGAAACAAGTGTTTATTACTCCCACTCAAAAAATATTTACGTTTATTGGTTGGTTTGTTGTTTAAGGGATTATTTTAAATCACAAGACTTTAATATTGTTTAAATCAACAAATTTATTTATTGTATTAAAATTAATTATTTTAACAATTGAATGATCAACAAGCACATAATCTCAACAAATTAATTTTTAAATTAACAAAATATTTGCTTTATTAAGGAGTTATACTGCCGATATAAAAATCGGTTTGGGTTTAAGGTTATTGGTTTTATTGGTAGTTGGAGTGGTTTTGGGAATGGTACGTCCGTGAATTATTGGACGAGGTTTTGAGAAAAAATAAGCCAAAATAAGGATGGAAACCAGGATCAAACCAAGGAGGGCGTAAATTATATAAAAGTGAAGTGTATTTGAGAATTGTTTTTCTTGTTTATCTTCCGCCTCAGTTGTAACTATAGGCCGAGTTTTTGAACAAATAATTGGCTCATTCCATTCAACTGGTCCAAAACAACGTTGGGCACATTTTAAGTCCGTGGGACAGTCAACCTCTTCAAATTCCACTTAAAAATTATAAATAAAATAAAACACAAAATGGGAATTTAATACAAAACTTAAAAATTATAAATACTTAAAAATTATAAATAAAATAAAACACAAAATGGGAATTTAATACAAAATCAGAATTTATTAAAAACAAAATACAAAAATCAGAATTATTTAAAAATTAATAGTCAGAATTACATAACACAAAATACAAATTTTAATATAAAATAAGTCCAAAGAACATCCAATAAATCTAAAAATAGAGATCACACCAAAAAATCATATGGGCCCAAAAATAAATATGGAAAGAAAAAATCAAATTAATTAGTTGATCAACAAAAATAAAAGAAATATAAAATATTAATTAACGTGACTCTTACACCTTTTAACTACGGCCGGAGTTATCTGGTGTCGGACCACGAGTTTATTAAAACTAAAATAGTTTTAATTAAAAAAGTGATTTAATTAGAATTTATTATGGCTGTGACTATTGGATTAATTTTATAAAGTTAATTTTGGATCTTAAATTGTTTAGTAATTAATTATTCTAACACCAACATATATTTAACAACAGAAAAAAGATATTTTAAACTACAGCTTATATTGAAACACATTATTTGAACAACAGTTACAACATAAAAATTTTATTTTAAAATTAACAACATAAAATAAAATAAAAATTATTTAATTAAATTTATTTAAATACAGGCCTCGAATAATTGAATTAATTATAATTATTGAATAAAGTGAAAATACATATTTGGAATACTTCAACTTCAAACAAATTATATTAAATTATTTTTAAAATATTAAATACAAAATGGAGGAGGAAGTTGGAACTGATGATGACATGCACACTGCTGATGAAGAAGGGAAAACTCCTTTAAGAAAAGGTCAATTAAATGAGCGGGAATTACAACAAAAGCTCGCGGCGCTTGAAAAGGAAATCGCCAAACTTGGAATAAACAGAATGCGTGAAGGATTACCTCTTCCAGAATTTTATTCGGGAATAGAGGATTTTGAGGCTTACCTTCGTAGATTTAATAAAATTGCCACCGCGCATCAGTGGAGTGGAACGCGTTGCACCCAAATATTACCTTTATATTTGTTGGAGGAAGCTCGCGCGATATATGATTCTTTGGGCGCAGAATCTAAAAATACGTGGAAAGGATTGACAGACGCCTTGGCAATAAAATTGAAGAAATTAAATACAAAGGAATCAGCGCGTAGGATGTTGACTAACAGAAAACAAAAATCTAATGAATCTATAATTGAATTTGCGCAGGTTATTCGCAGTCTAATAAACAAGGCTTTTCCAGAAAATTCCTTTAAAAAAGTTGTTCTTGAGACAGAAGAGGCGAGAACTCAGAGAATTAAAGATTGGAGAGATGACCTTGCTAAAGACTATTTCAAAAATGGAATTAAATTGGAAATTAAGGAAAAATTGGCATTTATTACAACGGATACACTAGAAGACACTATTAACCAAGCCAAACAGATTGAGGAGGTGCAAAATGCTTTGAAAGAAGATAGAATGAGGTCATACCAAAATAAATTATCTGAAAAGGCTATACTTGAAGTTAACGCTGTAAAAGCGCAGGTAAATGAACTAAAGGAGAAAGTTGATAATCGCATGCCAACACAGCCTGTTAGGGGAAATTATAACAATTGGAGAGGAAACTTTAATACTCGAGGCAATTGGAACCAACGAAATAATTATAATCGGGAGCAATACTCTAATAATAGAAATAATTTCCAAAATTATAACAATTGGAGGGGAGCAAATTATAATCGAGGTCGTGGTAATGTAAGATGGGGACAACGTCGAGGAGCTGGATCTTTTAATTCGAATAAAATTCCTATAAATAATCCAGGAAATTTTGGAGCTGGAACATCGAATTCAGCACGAATTAATTCCCTAGCAATGCCTTATATTACTATAATGATGCTTTTAATGTTTTGCCAAGGAATTTTTGGACAATACCAAATTTGTCCAAAGGATAAAGTTGGTGAATCAATTGATTTTCCATCTCCTCAAGACTGTACTTTATCACTGACTCATCAGATGGAAATTAAAAATGTCACTTTATTTCTGCCAAAACTTGTCCCAAGGTATTTTCCGATTTACCGATGTTGGATGGAGAGACATGTTAAATGTACGGATTCTATTTTAGTATATCGGGAAGATTTACCAATTAAAAAAGAAAGATTTTCATTGAGTCAGGAAAGTTGTTGGAATTTATTTAAAAGCACAAAATTAAAAAGAATTAATGAAGTGTTATGGTCAATAATATTTTATAATGACTTAAAATATGCGTGGTTTGGACAACAATGTGTTATGGATAGACATTATTTTCTGGAAGAAGGAGAGGGTGCATTAATGAACAAAAGATTCGAGACCAGTTTTGGAGTCTCGAAATCTGTTGAGGCTCATACTATAAATGGTTCTTTTACAGATAAAGAAAAATTATTTTCGGTTATTGTTTGGAACGCTCCATCTGAAGATTATATTTATACACATTATTCATTTGGCCCAGTACAAGCAGAAATATTTTACAAAAATAATTCTGTAAATGGATTAGTTAAAATTAATGAATTACAATATGTTTTCGCGCCGTCCGAGAACATTACAAAAAGTTCAGATGTGTTAGGAGTTCCCGATGAAGCTTGGCCAATGGACAATGACGTTTATATATTAATATTAAATACAACAGAAAGAATTATTCAAAAAAGGCAAGTTACAAAAAAACAAAATTTTAGACGTACTACTACCACGACTACTACAACAACACCAATTCCACCAACTATTAAACCAATAAAGACAACAAATCGTCCAATATTAACCACAAAAAAGCCAATATTAAGTACCACAACAGCACCTATTCATAATAAAATAATGTATACAACACCTACTATTGATCCAAATTATCGTTTCCCAGTTCAACAACAAATTAAAAATAATTATTTGAAAGGGGATCGAGGTATACCGGGCCCAGATGGAAGACCTGGAGCACCCGGAGAAAAAGGAGACATGGGATATACTGGACCTAGAGGAATGAAGGGAGCACCTGGAGAAAAAGGAGATATGGGTTATACTGGACCGAGAGGATCAAAAGGAGCATCGGGCCAGGACGCTGCTCCAGGGCTTAAAGGCGAGAAAGGCGATATTGGAATACCTGGAAGGCCAGGAAAAGAAGGATTGCCCGGACTGAATGGGAAAGATGGACTGGATGGCTTACAAGGACCTCGGGGTCCGATTGGACCTAAAGGAGACAAAGGAAGCCCTGGTATTAATGGAAAGAATGGATTACCTGGACCAAAAGGAGAACCTGGATATTGGGATGAAAATTTAAAAATTTTACCGACTTTTACCCCTTTAAATAAAAGAGAATTGTTTGATCCCGAAGAAGCACAAAAAGAACGAGATAATAAAATTAAGGATAATCATGAAAAAAGTCGTTTAAATTATTTATCATGGGAAGAAGCACAAGCGCGAGAACAAATAATGAGAGAACAGTGGAAAATTACATGTCAAAATAGGAATCAACAATTGGAAATTGCTAAAATTATAGCTGAAACTAATCCAACCAAAGCAGCAAGATACCTTTATGGAAGAACGGATTTAATAGCATTTTTGGAGAGTGGAATAAAATTAAAATGGAATTTAGGATTATGTACACCAGTCAATGTTGAAGAAATAATATGGGACCAGAAAGTTGAAGATAAATGTTATGAATTACTTCCTGTAAAAATAAGAGGTAAATTATTGTTTGCCGCACCAGGAAACCCTGATTTGTTATTGGAGTCTAAAACAAAATCTTGCGAGGAAAAACCAATTATAGTAAATAAAACAAAGCTATTGAATTTTGATCAGGAACAACATTCATTAAAAATTAAACCCATAATTGATGTAAAGACTGGAATTCTTTTTAAAGCTGGAAATAAATTTGAGGAGGAGAAAGCAGAGGTGAAAGACATAGAAAAATTTTCAGATTTAATTCACCAATCTATGACATTGCCGGAAGATATTAAACAGTCAGAGGTTGAGGATGTACTCTCAGAAATATTTGGCTTACCAAAAATATTGAAAGAAAGAGGAAGTAATGTTACTGGCGAAGTTTTTGAGAATTTAAAGGAAAATCTAGAGTTTGGTATTGAGAAAGGGAAAGAGGTTGCTAAGGATATAAAAGAAAAAGGAGGTGAAATAATAAGTGAAGCAAAGGAATTTATTGAGGATAAGTGGTCATTTATGCAGAGACTATATTGGATTTTAATGGCTTTTCTAATTTTGTCAGCCCTCTTAGTAATTACCTATTTATTTTGGAAATTCCGCGCATTATTCTCGCTCATTTGGAAAGGAATAATGATCGGAAGAACTGTTATTAGATTTTTCTTCAGAGGGAAAGGAGAAGGAAGTGAAAGAAAAGAAATTAAAGTTAATGCTATAGAATTGGAGGAACTGAACCCCAAACCCTCAGCCCCAACTTTAAACGATCTGGAAGAAAAGGCTTACATTCTGGATTATATTCCTTCTGTTTGTTCTGTAAAAAGTCGAAAGCGATGCTATGTTGAAGTATTATTTGGAGGGAAAATTCAAAAAGCACTCATTGATTGTGGCGCTGATATATCTTATTGTGGAGAATCAGTTGCTTCAAAATGTGGTTTAAAAATAAACTCGAAAGATGTACCAATGGCGTGGGCTGCAAATTCAACACCAATTACATTTTTAGGTTCTGCAATGGTAACTATTGAAATTGGAGGATCAACAATGAGATGGCCATTCTTGGTATCAGAGGATAAATCATGTCCTGGAGGTTTAGTAATTGGGACAGACTTAATGGAAGAGAAGGAGGAAATCAAATTAAATTTTAAAAATAAAACAATTCAATTGGAAGAAGATATTTTACCAATGATTGCAGCAATGGAATACGTTGAATTACCAAAAAGACAAATAGAAGTGAGACTGTTGGAAAATTATGTTTTGCCCCCATTATCTGATTCACTCTTATGGGGAACTGTTAATAGAATTTTTGATCCAACCCAACAGTTCCTACTGGAAGAATGGAGTCAGCATGAGTATTGGCCAGTAAAAATTGGAAGAACTCTCTCGCAACCAGGATCTTCGCGTTTAATTCCTTTAAGAATATTAAATTTCGGAAATTCGCATGTTCAAATTTATGGAAAATCACGTATTGGAATTTTAGAACCTATTTATGCTGATGAAAAGGGAGCCAATTCGGTTGAAGTATTTATGAGAAAAGATGAATATATTTCGCCAGAAGTTAATTGGGAAGATGAATTACCTCAATTACCCAATTTGGAACTGAAAAGTGAAAGGATTTCAGATAAATTAAATTTAGAAGGTACTGCTTTGTCTAAACAAGGAATTGTCTCTTTAAAAAATATGGTTGATGATAAAAGTGAAGCATTTGTAAAATCGGATGGTATTATTGGTCTATACAAAGGGAACATAGTACACCAAATAGAGTTGGAACCAGGAACACGTCCAGTTCAACAAAGACCATATACTATACCACATGCCTTAAGGGAAGAAGTCGAAAAACAAATTAAGGAAATGATAAAACAAAATATAATTAAGCCATCTTCCTCAGCCTGGGCATCACCAATTGTTCTTGTAAAAAAGGCTGACGGCAAATCTTGGAGATTTGCAGTTGATTATAGAGCTCTGAATAAATGCACTAAAAAACAAACTTATTTATTACCGCGAATTCAAGATTTACTTGATGTAGTTGGGGGAAAGAGTCTCTTTTCTATTTTTGATTTACAAAGTGGATTTCATCAGGTAAAAATGAATAAAAAGCACACGGATAGAACAGCTTTTATTACCCATTGTGGCCTCTACGAATTTTTGCGACTGCCATTTGGTCTTGCTGGAGCCCCACATACGTTTCAAAAAGTAATGGAAGAGATGAGACAACAATTGTCTCGAAGTTTCTTAGTATATTTAGATGATGTAATACTAGGAAGCGAAACAGAAAATCAACATTTAAATGATTTAAATGCATTTTTGAATGTTTTATGTGAGGTTGGAATGAAGCTACGAGCGGAAAAATGCAGATGGGGTTGTTCTGAAATTCGATATCTAGGATTCTTGATATCTGAAAAAGGAGTTCGACTGGATGATTCTGATTTAAAACCAATATTAAAAATTAAGAGGCCAGAAAATCTAGCTGAATTACGGTCATTGATTGGCATGTTTAGTTACTTTAGGAGGTTTATTCGTGGATTTGCAGGAATTATGGCACCAATCTATGAACTTACAAAAAAGGAATCTACAAGAGATTGGAACGAAAAACATGATAAAATTTTGGAGGAAATGAAAAGTAGATTAACATCAGCGCCGATTTTGGCCACACCTAAATTTGGAAGACCTTTCATATTAGAAACCGATGCAAGTGGAATTGCCATTGGAGCCTGTCTTTTACAAGAAAATAATAAAAAGGAAGTTCATCCAATTGCTTTTTATTCCAGAACACTAAATAAGCATGAGAAGAATTATAGTGTGGTGGAATTGGAAGCCTTGGCTTTAGTATCTGCACTAAAACAATTTCGGGTATATTTAGAAGGAGCGGGGACTTCGACAGTAATTACCGATAACTCTGCTTTGACCTCACTATTTCGAAGGAAGGATCTTCAAGGACGTTTAGCTCGCTATCAGATTGTACTACAAGCTTTTGATGTGAATATCATTTATCGCCCAGGGAAATTTAATAAGGTCGGAGATCATCTTTCGAGATACCCGCCTGAGGCAGATATAGAAATTAAATCAATAGAAATTGAAAAGAAAATTTCGATTGATGAGTTAAGTAAAGCACAAAAATGTGATCATGAAATTTTATTAAAACGTCAAGAAAATGAAGAAAATATTAAGGAAATAAATGGAATTATTTGGGGAAAGATAAAAGATGATTGGAAGATTTTAATACCCCAGGCAATAAAAAATAAAATAATTAATGAATTTCATGAGGATCCACTGCAAGGAGCTCATCTTGGAATTAATCGTACATTAGAGAAAATTAAGAGATCGATGCATTGGAAAGGATTAGCGAAGGATGTCGCCGATAGAATTCGAATTTGTGAAGTTTGTCAAAAGAGGAAGGTCGTGGGAGTACACCTGAGTAGAGAGGAGATTTGTCCAATAGAACCAGCTTCAAGACCCTTCGATAGAGTACATTTGGACCTGTTGGGTCCAATTCAGAAATCATTTCGAGGGCATCAATATATTTTTGTTGCGGTTGACTCATTCAGTAAATGGGCGATTGCTGTGCCCATTCGGAATCAAACCGCAACCACAATATCCGAGATATTTGTAAAAGAAATTATTTGTCGATTTGGAATACCTTCACTAGTAGTCACGGACCAAGGAACCCAATTTATGTCATCCACGTTTACAGACTTAGCGCAAGCAATGAATTTTTGTCACAAACCTACAACCGCTTATCATCAATCAGCTAATGGAATGGTTGAACGTTTTAATAGAACATTAGCGGATATGATAGCTACTTGCACTGAACAGGGTAAACAGTGGGTGGACGTATTGCCTCAAGCAATTTTCGCATATAATACTTCATATAATCAACAAATAAATAATTCTCCATTTTATGTTATTCATGGATTCGCCCCTAAGCTACCCACGGAAGCTGCTCTTGGGATTGAAAAAGAAAAATTTAATGATATGAATTTATATGTGAAAGATCTTGTAAAAAATTTGGAACTCGTAAGATCAGAAGTCAAATGCCGGTTACAGGGGAATATGGATATCATGAGAAAGCAACAAATTAAAATTAATAAGAAAAATTGGGAGAAGGGAGAGAAGGTTTTGGTGAAGAAAATGGAAAATATTAAGAAGTTTGGAGATAAATATGAGGGCCCTTTCATAATTGTTGAGCTCCAACACCCAAATTTATTAATTTCTGACTCGGGGTTGGCAGATGAGGCATGGTTGGTTCACATGGATAGATGTAAACCATTTTATTCGGAAGAAATTGTAAATAAAAAGGATAAGAGAGTGGTTGGTGATACGAATCTGGAGCAGTCAGATAGTGATGAAGAGGACCGAATACAAATAAATGCTATTATTAACAATTTGGAATGTATTAACACTAACAAAACTAATGCGAGCACTCATAACTCATGCCTTGATGAGAATAATAAAAAATTTACTAACTCAAATGCTACAAAAGAAACTAATTTGAATATAAATTTTCAGATAAAAAAAGATTTAATCAAATCTAAAATTATTATTATATTAAAAATGCCTAATTCTAATTCAACTTCATCTTCAATAATTTTTGAACAACAAAATAGACTACCGTGGCACTTTGAGGATGTGTCATCACCTGAACTTTCCGAGGATGATGAACGAATTATGCCATATTTAAAGGAAGATAAGGAAAAAGAAAAAGCCAAAAAGATCGCCAAAAATATTGAGGACAATAAAAGTAAAAGTGCCGGAGTGAAGAGAAAGAAGGAGGAACAGGAAATTGCTAATTCGGTTGACTGGGATATGGCATACCGTTTGAAAAGAATTAGAAGCAAATATGAAGACGACATGTTGACAAAACATAATGATATATGGAAAGAGATTCTGAAAAAAGGCGATCAGTTCCATGCTAAGATACAAGATAAGTTACACAAGGAAAGAAAAGCATTAGAAAAGGAGCGGAAAGAGAAGAAGAAAGGGAGAAAAAACGAAAAGAAGCAAACAAGAGAGGGGGCTGAAACTGAAGTAAACCAAAAAAAATCAAAGGAAAACCCCAGGAAGGAAGTAAAAATGAGATCTGAAGCTAAAATAGAAAAGAAGAAACTGGATGATGAGAAAAAGAAGCCTAGAGAAACCGAAACTAAAAATAAAGTAGATACTAAGCCAAAAGAGGAAAAGACTGGTGTTAGTGACTTCATAAAATTTGCTAGCCGAGTGGTACAAAGAGCAGTGGTTGATAAAACAGATGACGTAGTTCCTGAAGAGTTACCCGAGGATAAGAAGAAAATAATAAAGGAGAAAGAAGAAGAAGAAAAATTAATAAAATTGGGAAAATATCAAGAGAAAATGAAATCTCGACAAAAGGATTTTGATGAGGAATTCGTCGCTAGAGGTTTTAAAACGCGAGAATATTCTATGTCACCAGTTAGACGTCCAGTTGTGGGATATATAGATGAAAAGGACAAAAAGGATAAAATGGAAAAAATTAAAGCTAAAGAAAATAAGAAGGTGGAAATAACTACAAAAGAGATCGGAGTGAATACGGTTTTTAATACTTTGGTTTTCAACCGAATTTTGGAAAACCTAGAGGAAGTTCAGGATTTTTTGACTTTAAAGCCAACCGCTAAATAAAGGAAATACAACAACAACAACCAATAAAATAAAAATAGAAAAAAACAACAAAAAAATTAATAAAAATTAAAAACTTTAAAATAAAAATATTACAATAATCACATATATTCATAATTACATCAAACATTTTCATCAAGCTATTAATAAATATTTCTTATTCATATTAATCACAATATTCAACAACACAATTACTACCACAAACATTTTAATTAATACAACATTTATTTTAATTATGTTTATTAAAATTACCCACATAAGGAATGACCATTGGAAGAACACACAAACACAAAAAATAATAATAAAGTGAACATTGATGTTTAATAATAAAATTAATTTTAAATAAATTAAATATTGTCAATTGGATGAAATATTTAATAATTTTTAAAAAATTAAAAAAAGGAAATCTTCGATTTGTGGACTGACTGCTTTTCAATAACTTGTGTCTTCCTTTTGGCCGCCCAAATCTCTTTTCTAGCACCTGGCCCATACTAATTTTAAAATACAAAAGAAAGAAAAAATTTATAAAAGATGAAAAAGAAAAAATAAAATTGATTAAAAATAAATAAAATAAATTTTAAGCTAAATTTATAATGTTACGTTGTAGGGCCCTCCTCCTCCAAGTTCGCCTTAAAGCTACCAAAACATCTTTAAACTTTTAAAGTTCAAGGATGAACTTGGAGGGAGGAGGGGAATGTGATAGGAAAAAGAACAGCTGTCACTAAACTTTTTCCTCATCCCCAATTTCTTCAATTCATTCATATATTGTTTAATAAAAATACTCCCAAAAGAATAAATATTTGTTAAAAGAAAAGTAGAGGTTTAATTTAGAAAAAGACGCTCGAACGCGTCTCCGGTTCCCTTTCGGGAACCGGAGACCCAACGTTCGAGTCCTCATTAAACTTTACTATTATAACCAGTTACTAACCTAAATCTAGATCAAGACCCAGGGTTTTTGAAAATACCGGTCTCTAGTTCCCTGCCTCGAACTTATATAGAACCATCATATTATTGCTAAATATGCCCGAGAATTTAACCTATATTATACAGAAATATTGTAAAGGATAGAGAGAACGTGATCGGACATTTTTGACAGAACCTTAGGGTTAATCGGGCGTTTGTCTAATCCCCAAACAAAGCTAAAACATACCTTTTTCACTGAAAGGTACACCTCCAACTTTGTGCCTTCCTTCGTCGTAAGCAAATAAATAGCCTGTGCCTATATAGCTATAGTGAAGTCCCACTGAAAATTGAGGGAGTTATTCATCCTCCAAAATAAGCTTACGTTTTTTACAAATTATAGCCAAGGCTAGAGGACAGTAAAGATTGTCTCTAATATTTTCAAAATCTTTTTCGGGTCCTCCCTCCAAATATTCAATCGTTTTATAATTTCCTCCATGTGTTCTTCCAGTACAGCAAAGGACGTGAGTTCCACGCAATTGGAGAAGTTCCTTGATTACCTTAAAATTAAATATCTTCTAATACATTTTTCAACCCATTAGAATGTCTCCCAAATATGTAGAAATGTTTGATTGACACGAAAATAATCGTCCCCCTATTCCAATTCCTTACTTAAAGAAAAATCATCATATAGGTATACGGTAAAAGGAGTGAAGTTAATTTCAATTGTTAAATGCATATGAGTACCACATATCAGAGATCAAGACGACATAAAAATTAAATTCCAGATTTTAGGGAATCGGGAATCGGGTCACTTGATCCCTGCTACATATAAATTCATCAAAGGATTAAAGATAAGGTTTTCGTGTTCGAAAATCGAAAAATATTCAAATTATGAAATTTTTGTCACTTTGAAATTTTAACATTTTGAAAAAGATTATTATTAGCCTACTTTTTCCTCCAAATCAATTCCAATTTTGCATTTAGCCAAGACATATGGAATACTTTTTTCCTCAAGTACTTGCTGAACTTGAAGCCCTACCCATCCTTTACCTCCATAAATTATAACAGACAATTTTTGTTCAGGTTCAGTTTTGGTGCGTAAATGAGAAGTGACAACGAGTGAAAGACCTTTTAAATTAAAAAAAAATATTTAATTGAGAGAATTGTGAGGGTGAATCTTCAAAGGATCGGTAAAAATCACAAAAATTCTGCAATATTCATCCAAATTTCTCTCCAAAACCCCAAATAAAAAATTAAAAAACCCATAAAAATGGAGGTCAGACTTATCATGCAGGGGGGTTCTATGGACGGTAATTTTAGGAGCCTCTGAATATCCTATAGAAAGTGCTCTTGAAAAGACTTTTTAGAAATAATCGTCCTGATATGTGGGTGGCTAAATATCGACCAGCCAATACCTTCCTGAATGTCTTCCTGAAGTATCTCCCGGCCCCAAAAATCACATAAGATCCCAAATATTTACCTTCCTCAAACGACATTTTCGGTTCCCATCCCAACTCTTCTTTAGCTTTAGTATAGTCAATTAAATAGCGTTGGTCGTTGTAAGGACGGTCTTGAATTTTTTCAAATTCTACTTCTCCATTAACCCCTAGTTGACGATTGACTTCCGCCTGGACACGATCTGCTACTTGTTTTACTAAAATTTATTAAAGTTATTTTTATTCACTAGAAGCTTAGGTTAGGACTTGTTAGAGGAGGACTAGTCATCCTTGAAGACCAGCAAAGTTCCTTCGGATATACACTATCAGCCGAGTGTGGGACGGTTAGACGGTGCTTGGGTAAGCTACCAACCTTGCTATGGTAAGCTGCCAGAAAATCCAATCCTTTTATTTTTTGGAATAAATCGGGACGTTTATTGATAAAGCCTAGATGCTAGGTGTTTTTAGACCTTTCGCTCACCACCAACAACTACCTTAGTCAGAACGATTTATAAGACTTTATAAAGCTTCTTACCATTCAGCTCAACATAGGTGCCCAAATTGTAAATCTCTCCAATTCCTCCTTTTTCAACTGCTAAGCGGATACCTTCAGAAGCATCATCAACATACAACCATGAGCGAAGCTGTTCTCCACTTCCCTGTACAGGGAATTTACCTCCTTTCCGGGCAATTTCAATAAATCGCGGAACTAGCTTAATTATTTTGATTTTGATTCTGATTTTATTCTGATTTTTTCTGTCATAGTTCTACAGTTTCTGATTTTTTCTAATTTTCGTTCTAATTTTTCTGATTTTTTCTGATTTTTTCTAACCTTTTTTCCTAATTTTTTTTAAAATTATTGTCTGATTATTTATTGTCTAATTTTGATTTTAGTTTTGATGACTTTTTCTGAAATTTTCTGATTTTTTCTGTTATCATTCTGACATTTTCTGATTTTTTAAATTTGTTCTGATTTTCGTTCTAATTTTACTAATTTTTCTGATTTGTTCTGATTTGTTCTGATTTTTTTTAATTTTTTCAAATTATTGTCTGATAATTTATTATCAGATTAAGATTTTAGTTCTGACGATTTTTCTGATTTTTTCTGATTTTCTGACACCGTTCTGATTTTAGTTTTGATTTTCCCTGATTTTAATTCAGAATTTTCCATTTTTAAATTTTGTTCTGATTTATTCTAATTTTTTTCTGATTCCAAATCATAGTACCAAAAACTACCTTAACATCCCATTGATTAGGACCATAAATATTATTTATTCTTAAAGTACACAGTGGAAGTCCATAAATTTGCTGATATAAGTGGACATAATATTCACTGATCGCCTTGATTTTTTTAAAAATTTTTAAAAAATAATTCTGATTCAATTTTTACTTTAGTAGCAGCATAAGGGTTTCCTGGAAGCAACGGGTCTTTTTCTGTTTTTGGATTTGCTTCACTTCCCAATTCAGAATCACCATAGACCTGTTAATATTTTTATTAATTCTGAAATTTTCAGAATTTTATTCTGATTTTTTTCAGAATTTTTAATAAATTTTGATTTTCTGATTTTTATTGTCAAATTCCGTTGTGATATTTTTTCTGATCTTTTATGATATCCTTAAAGTTTATTTTCTGATTTTTATGAGCATTTTTTGAACTAGGGTGGGACAAACCGTTTAACTAAACGGTATACGGTAAAGGGGTTTTTTGGTAAAATTAAACGGAATGGTATACGGGTCTCAGATAAACGGTATACGGTTTTACAAAAATAGTATACGGGCTACTTAGAATACTTGGAAAATCAACCTGAAATAGGGTAAGCCTCATTTAAAAATATTTTCGACCCCATACGTATTCTGTTAAATTTTCGTTTTGGTCTTATTCGTAAGCTCTTGAAATTTGCTACAAGTATATTTAAATTTCCAAGACAATAATTTTTTTAATTTTTAAAATTTCCAAGAACAAAAAAGACACCAGATTTCCCCAATTACAATTGAAAATTACAAAATTAATTTTTAAAATTAACTTGGCATTAAAAAAATTTTTTTTTAATTTTTCGGTTCATTTTCTTTGTTAATTTTTTGTCAAATTTTTTTTCTAATTTTCTAATTTTAAAAATTAAAAAAAAATTTTTTTCTTTTCAAACTTTGTATTTTCTTTTAATTATTATTTAAATAAAAAATTTTTTCTTTTAATTTTCCATTTAACTAGACATTTAAGAGAATAAAAATTTTTATAGTTTAATGTGTTAAATGTGTATTTTAAGGTCTATTTTATTACTCCTTTATTTAGTCTAAATTTAAAAATAGCTTTTTATTTAATTTTAAAATTAAAAAAATTTTTTTTCAAATTTTCCGAAACCTCATCCGTGCTGATATGTACAAATTTCTTCACTTTTCCATAAATTCGAATTAATTCCAAAAATTCCAAAAAGGCTATAACATTGTTGGCTATAGCCTCTTCCGGTTGGAGATAACAACGAATGCTAGTACAATCCGAAGCAAAATGGATAATTGTATCTATCTGGGAATTAATTGAAAAATTTTTAAAAATTAAAAAAATTTATAGAATTAAATACAAAATTATTGGAATTAAAATTTTTTTCAAATTTTTTTTTGAAAAAAAGAAATTTCATTTTTGTCGCGTATATATAAATTAATGAAAATTTTAAAAATTTTATAATTTCAAGATTAAATTATAATTAAAAAATTAAATTAACCTTAATTTATTAATTAAATATAATATTTTATAAAATATTCCAGTCCTGGTCACGGATCATCATCATCGTTTTTGTATCCGTATCCGCATATTTACGGCGGATACAGGCGGATATCCGCGAGCATTTTGATAATATTTGTATCCATACCGTACGTGACCAGGTATGAAATATTTTTTTAATTTAAAAAATAATTTTTAAAATTTTTTCTCAGATTATTTTTAAAAGACGCTTAACGAAAAATCTGTAAAAAAATAAATAAATTTAATTTCAATTTATTTTTGCTTCAAAAATTGAAATTTAATGAATGAATATGATTGCTAGAAAAGCCGGTATGTTTATTAAAAATTTTTAAATTATTTCCTCATTTATGTTAATTTTTTTACTTTTTAAAATTCAAGTATTCGTTAGTTTTCCTATTAAGTACATAAGACTAAAATTTAAAAAATATTTTTTTGCCACCTAAAAAATATATTTATTGCGTAAATTACAAGAATAATAAAGTCCATTTTTTATCTCCTAATAGCCAGAAAATCGTACAATTAATGAGAAAATAATTTTAAAATTATTTTATGAATTTAACAAACACCTACATATTTTATAAAAAAAATTTGTATTTATTTTCCCATATAGAAAAATAAATTTTAAAAAATTGTTAGGCTAAAACACGCAAATATTATATTTTTTAATTAGTTCAGAATCAAAAAATAGTCTTATTTTATTTTTATCTGAAAATTATATTTTGATTTAGAAATTAATTCAGTTAATAGATTTATGCTGGTTTATAAAAATAGTACACTTAAGGTACACGCCAATCCCAAGGTCCGCAGAGCTATAGCTTAGTTCAGATTTTTGAATCTGGGACTTGATGAGATTAATCGAACCATACTGGGGCGTCCCTGATTCGACAATTCTCAACGAAGTTATTGCTCTGCGGTACCTCGGGCTTGGGTTACCTTGGCCCACTCCTATAAATCTAAAAAATTCTGATTTTTAAACAGAATTCTAAGCCCTGCTACGTTTAAAGATGAATTTCTGATTTTATTCTGATTTTTATATTCAAGTTTATTCTGATTTTTGTCTGTTCTTTTTTTATTTTGAATAATTATTTATTATATTCCCTCACCTCATTCTCGACCAAAACACTTTCCAAAATTCGTGTATTTTTTATATCCGTCAGCACACATTTGTATCTATCAGAATTACGTATTTTACTGTCCACATAATTACAATCACTATTTAAAATTAATTTATCGACGTTAACAAATTTCGAATTTGGCCATTTATCAAATATATAATTGAGGAAATTGGAGCCGATAAATCCACAACCTCCAGTAATTAATATATTTGAAGGGGTATGTTGATTATTTTGATTTTCTGGGGCAGTTTGAGGCATTTTAAAGGGAAATAATTTTTAACAGATGAAAATACAAATTTTTAAAATTAACCAAATAAATTTATTTTCGCTCTAAAATGGGTCAAGGAATGCATGCGTTGCATATTTTTATAAATAAAATCAATCGCTTTAAAAATATAATATTAAAATGCTGATCGAATAACTAGATAATTAATTAGAAAATGAATTTTTAGAGTGATTTTGGACAGTTAAGATATTGATAAAAATTAAAAATCTGGACACATTTGTACAATAAATAATTCTCAATACTAAGAATCAGGATTCACGGCCCATAACCCATAGTGAGTTCCAGCTTTAAGAAAATTGGAACGATTAGATTCCTTATATATAAAAAAGCTATTGTCAAAAAACCCCAACTTTTAACTAGGGTTGGGCAGGATCGGGATCCCGATCCTGATCGGGCGGATCCCAATTTTTCTTGTCCCAAGACCGAAAGGTAAATCCCAATCCTGCAGTCGGGATCGGTATCGGATCAACATTCCAAAATCCCGATCCCAATTTTTTGTCGAAATCCCGATACCACCCAGTCTAATTTTAACGAAAACTTTTCCTGTCCCCGGTTCTGATCTTTAATAAAAAAATTTTCTAAACACTAAATTCAAATTTAAAAAATTTCCATAATTTCAATTTATATCTTAAAATAAACTTAAAATAAATTGATGATCTAATTTAATTTATATAATGGGATAGCCTTTAATTTTATTATAAAAAATGAATAATAATAATATACCAAAAATATATTTTAAAATAATTGGTAGTTTGCCAAATATGGAAAAAATAAATATTTTTTATTTGTTACAAATTAAACACTCCTCAAATAAAAAAACAATAATTTTTTTTATTTATTTCTTATTAGAAAATTAATTTTATGTTCCAAACTTAACAGAAAGCCTCTTAAGTTTTGCTGCTATTTACAGAAATAGGCTTTTTCTACCGAATAATTTGCTTTTGCGCCTCTTTAAAAGATATCAATACATTCGGAACTCGTTTTTTGCGCTCTTTAGGGCAATCCGTACACTATACAAATGTTCACAAAATTCCCTAGTTATCTAATAGGCAGCAGGATGGATGGGGCTATCTGAAAATAGGGCTGATCGAAGTTGCGGCCTCGCCGAGGCTGAGGTCCTTGCCCATCTTCCAATCTCGATTTCAGTTCGACCGGTTCTTGGTCTCGGTTTTTTCGGATAACCTCGACCTCGCGCAGCCCTTTCTGAGAATAGGGTTGTAGATCGAAATATAATTCCCGATCCTACCGGTTACGGCCAATCCGGGTCGGAATCGGAGGTCTTTGTTACAAAATGCCGATCTCGATTTACTGTCGAAATAACGATACTGCCCACTCTATCTAAGCTCAAAGCCCAGAGACATTCTTCTACACGACCGATACATCTTAGAAACTAGATATTTAAATTAGGTACTTTTTATGACATTTATTTAATTTCTATGTCTGTTAAATTATTAAAAATGATAATGTAATTAGCAGTTTGAACTTATACATTAATAAAATAATTTTTGAAATTTAATTTAATTTCACTTCAATTTAATTTTTAAATTAGACCTCTCACGTAACATTTAATTATACCTCAACTCTTTGAATATTAAATAGAAAATACTTCCTCCAATAATTTAATTAACTCTTAATAAAAATTATTTTAGATTATCTAGAGTCATGTAAAAATTTTTTTAACTAAAAAATTTTTTTTGAACTAAAAAAAATTTTTTTAGAATTATTATTTGCTTAAAATTACAATTTTGCTTAAATTAAATTAAATAAATATTACTAGAAAAAAAATTTAATTTATTTAAAAAAATAGAAAATAGATCAAATTTAATTTAACAAGCTAAAATTGCCTAAAATAAAAATCACGTGCATTATAATTTATTCTAAACTTTCTTTACAAATTAGTTTAATTATCATTCTTTTATTTCAAGTTGCTTTTGTAAACGTTTCATTTTATTTTTACCCTAGAATTCTGTTTTAATAAAATCAGAATTTGTAATATTTATTTTAATTAAACAGAATTTTAATAATCAGAATTTTTCGCAAATAAATTAGAAGTAAAATCAGAATTAATAAAAAATCAGAATTACATATTATTAAAATCAGAATTTTGATTAAATCAGAATTATTATTAAAATCAGAATTTTTTATTAAAATCAGAATTTTTAATAAAATCAGAATTTTCACTAAATCAGAATATTTATTTTTAAATCAGAATTTTTATTTTCAAATCAGACCTTTGTATTATAAAATACCAGAATTTCAAGTTTGTAGTCTTGAAAAAATTCTTTTATTAAATCAGAATACCGTATTTCCTATATTAGAGCCCCACCCTCTGTTAGAGCCCCACCCTCTAATACAGCCCCACTTTAGAGGATAGTTGAAAAATAGAGCCCCACCCTTAATTAGAGCCCCACCCCAAATACAGCCCCACCTAAAAAATATTAAAGGAAAAAAATATCCCAATAACATTTTAGATGTATTAAGAGAGTTAAGGAAATAAAGGGGGATATCGATGATATCGTGATCATGGAGGAGGAGGGATCATGGGGATATAAGGATGATAATGAGGAGATAATCCCGATATCCGTAAAAATAACCTAATATCGCCTATATTCCTCCAAATCCCTCCTATTATCAGCGAAGGAGAAGTTCCAAAATTTCTCTGGAACCGGTTCCAGTTCTGGATCTGCTTTTTTATTTTCTTCAGTTTCAGTTCTGGAACCTGTTCCAAAGCTTCATCAAACAAAATCATTCATATGCCTCATAATACCCCCAGTCACCTAATATTTCCTTTAATCTGTCCAAATCTAACAATAGTTAATAATTAATCTAACTCTCATTGAACTATTGGGACTATTTTATTATTCATTGCTTAAAAAGTTTTTATTTTTCTTGAAAAATCGAAAAATAATCGATTCTCTTTCGATATTTTGCGGTTTTATTGACCAAACCTTCGGCTTATCTCTAGTTCCAATGGATAGTTAATAAATGGGATTTTATCTCAAAAGAGGGTTGAAAAATAGAGCCCCACCCTCAATTAGAGCCCCACCCTTTAATACAGCCCCACTTCGGCGGATAGTTGAAAAATAGAGCCCCATGGGGCTCTAATATAGGAAATACGGTATATTATACACTTATTAGGCAAATAACTCAGATTTAATAGCCTAATAAAAATTAATATTTTATAGAAATGACAGTAGATGGCAATTTAGCTTTATATTGGACTAGACAAGGAGCACCGATTCAGGAACGTCTCATCATTGGATCTCTTTATTTCTTTTCTGCACTTATTTTCTTGATTCTTCAATTGTCCGTTATTTTTGTATGTTAAATATTTTTTGATTTTATCAATGATAATTTAATTTAACTGATAAAAAATTAAAAAATATTTTAAAGGTTTTCTGCTTCTACAAAGACTTGCGCAACCATCTTTGCTACAGAATCATGCTTTTTATTTCGATAGCTGATAGTATACAGCTTGTAGTTCATGCTTATGGTACGTTAATTAATTAATTTATTAGGTCATTGAGAGTTTTCAAATTTAAACTAAATCAAGTGTTAAACTTAAATTTAAGCTTACTCACAAACTTGGCTTAAACTTAAGTTTGTACTTAAGTTTATTTTTAATCTAATAATTAAACTTGTTTCGAGTTCAAGTGCGCAATTTTTTAAGTGCGCAAGTTTAAGTAAACCTAATTTAAGTTTATTTTTTAAACAAACTTGGCTTAAACTTAAGTTTGCAATTAAATTAAGTTTATTTTTAATTTAATAATTAAACTTGTTTCAAGTTTAAGTGCGCAAGTTTAATCTAACTATAAATAAACCTAATTTAATTTTAAGTCTATTTTAAGTCTACAAACTTGACAAAATCTTTAAATAATTAAATATTTATAATTTAATATTTTTAAGGTGGTATAATATGCATATTCGACAACTCCTTCAGTTTCTATCTCGAAAAGGTAAACCCGTAAAAATCTAAAAATAAAGCTTCCCTTTCCTTCAGATAGCTGGCGGTCTAGCAAATTCACTATCCTTACTTAACTGGCCAATTTGCTTAGTTCTGGCAATTAATCGGCTGCTAGTCTTCCTTCCCGCCAAATTGAGTGAAAGGAAAGAAGAAATCCTCTTCAACTGGCTTATTGCTCTTTGTCTTCTTCAAGGCCTTCCTTTCTTCGTTCTTTATTTAACACCTCATTCTACACTTGGATTTCGTTATTATAATTGGGATTATCTTAAACTGGACATGTTTGAATATGCAAACTGGGACTGGGTTGAACGAACAACAGAAACACTACCATTACCCTATGTTGTTATAACATTTGTTGTATATTTGTCTATATTTTGTATACTTATGGATCAGGTGAGAAAATAATAGCTTAATTAAAGTTTGTAAAAAGGTTGTAAACTTATTACAATTTGTAAAATTTTGTAAGCGAAAAGTTTGTAATATTTAAGTTTATAAACCTGATTTATAAAAATAAACTTGATCTTATAAACTTGTTAGAATCTAATATTAGAATAAGCAAATCTAAATATTAGAATAAGCAAACTTAAGATTTATAAACTTGCAAATAAATAAGTAAAGTTCATAAACTTGATATAGATAAACTTAAATATATTAAATATTATAACTTAAGTGTAAAAAATAAACTTGATTTAATAAACTTGATAAATTATATAAACTTAAGTTTATAAACTTGCAACTAAGAAAACTAAAGTTTATAAACTTGATTTCTAAAATAAACCTAAGACTTAAGCGTATAAAAATAAACTTGAATTTATAAACTTGGTGAATTAAGCAAACTTAAGTTTATAAATTTGCAACTAAAAAAATAAAGTTTATAAACTTAATTTATAAATAAACTTAAGCTTAAGTGTGTAAACTTAATTTATAAATAAACTTAAGCTTAAGTGTGTTAACTGGATTTATAAAAAAATAAACTTGATTTATAAACTTGGTAAATTAAGCAAACTTAAGTTTATAAAC